TGTGACCACTCCCAAATTAGCTGTAAGCTAACGAGGTTACTAAACACAGCTATATGTAGGGTTGATTATTTTTCCAATATTATATTTTCTGTTCTAATTATGTATATATTATGTTTATAATAAGCTTTATATGCTTAGAAGTGTATTTAATATAAACGTAGTTTTATTCTTATACAGTTTTATGATTTTAAGGATCCACGAAGGTGTTGACTGTTTTTGTTGAAAATAATTAAATATAATAGCTAATTGTTTAATAATAATTTGTTTTATGACTAAACTTTTAGGATAACTAATTATTATTCCTTGCAATTCGATGTTGAATCTTGGCCTTATAAAGTTTTTTTCTAAGAAATATTAGAGCAATATTTTTTAAAAACTTATTTTACTTTTAGTTACTGTAATTCATAGGGTGACATAGGCCACGTTTTATGCAATCCTGCATTTTGAATTCAACAACCATAAGTGTAAAATCGTTGTCTTTTTCTTTCGTTTATTCTAAACATAAATAAAACCTTAAAAGTTTTTTTCAAGAAAAAATATCAAAAAGTATATAACACAAATTATTTTACAAGCTAATGATTAAATCAAAAAGAGGCCTAACCTTCTGAATTCTCTCATATTAAAGAGTTATATATTTGATATGAATTCACAAAAACCAATTTCATAAAATCCAAGAATGTTGAATCCCCTTGAGGCTCAAAGCTCTCTTTAACCCACGGCATGACAAGCAAACCAAAATAAATTTCGCCATAAAAACCAACGTAATAGAGCCAATTATTTATTTTGTTATTCTAAAAGGCGTTACCCGAGTAGAAGGCGTGGCACTAACATTGTAGTGCTTAGATGCCCCTTAAGTGCCGTAACTTAGAGCTGTAACCACAGTTCGCTCATTTCCCCTCTCGAGTTACGAAATTACTTTCTCCACTCCCCCATTTCTAGGCGAAATGTCCGCATTTCTCTTGTCACGTAGGCCAAATCGGCAATAGCTGGCGAAAAACTCGTGCGGCAAATAGATAAGCAAATAAACGAGCTCCAGCCGGCTAACTAACACCAAGAAAAACCGGGGCAAAAAGCCGGCTGAGAACGGAAAAAACTAATACCGCTCCAAACTCTAATTATCACTTTCATTATTACGCTAATTGCCGGCAGATAACAACTGGCCGCTTAGCATTTATTTATTTATTTTTTCCCAAAATTGCGAATTCGGTTTCGCACATGTGCAAATGAGAGTGTGTTTGTGCGGAGAGCTGATTGCACTTATCACGAATGAGAGTTAGAGCCGCAAAAGCCGGTTATTGGGGGAGCTCGACGAGATTGGGGAAGTGGGAGAGTGGAAAACGGGCAGATAGTTCATCATGTGACAGTGCTAGGTGACTAACTTTGTTGCCAAATGCACGGGGATTGAATGGTGGCATTTAACACCTTCCAACCATAACGACCGTTCCGCAACATGCGCGGAAACAGAAAGCTATATTGGGCTAATTTATCAAGTGATTCCGATTAGATTATCGGTTTTGCAATGATTGCGACAAAGTTATCGCGAAGATTTATTAAATGCATGGAAGTTGCTTTTCTTAAAGAAAGTCGGGGATAATAATTGAATCATCATAATACGTGAGGTAATTACTTCCTTCCCAACGTTTAAAATTTCCTTCGTTTGACTTTTAAATATATTTGCACAGCATATTGATAGCTTACATTTTCTGCCCAAAATGATTATTAAAATTTAAAAGGACCAACCTTGAATAGGTTTAGGTACATACAACCATAAAATTCGGATTATAAATATTTGTTTAACTCATACTTTAATCTCACTTATCAGAGATAGTGATTCCAAGGACCTTCGAGGATCTTCCCTCATAAGGCGCTGATCATGCCCCCAAAATCTTACTTTACATAGATTCTACACATTCATCCACTACTCAGCCCAAAAGTAGGCACCAAAATTCGCCCACACCCCCTGTGGCCTTCAGTGATTGTCAAACTGTAGAAAATCGCCTGTGCACTTACCGTATTTCATCGACGGCAAATGTTAGGTACCACAAAGCGAACATTTTGTATTAGCTGAAAATAATATAGAATAGAATCAGTAAATAGTTTTGTGAATTTATAAGCAATTTGGCCGCTGATTTATACGGATTAATTGCACTCTAAATGGCAATTTCCACTGCTCATGCACTTGTTGGTCTGACACTGAATCATCACCGACCGACCTCCAAAAGCGCAACAAATGACGTCGTCGTCAGGCAATGCAAAATGCTCAATCGACCGCCTCGCTCATCAGCAAAGTAAGTTCTAGAGAGTCAGAGCTCAATTAAGAATCGAGACATGGAGATAAAAAACAGTCTGCGAACCACCAGCGAAAAGACAGCAGTGAAAATATGCCGGCATTATTCAAGGTTTATTTATAAACAAAGCGCGCATGGATGTGCGAATTGCCGTAGAGCAGAATGCAAAATGCAGAATGCCAAATTCGCAGAACCGTCGAGCGCCGAGGCACGTGAGCGTCGAAGCTTCTGGGCATTCGGCCAGAGATCAGCACACGGAAAAAATAGGATCATTTTTGAACTTTTCATATGGAAATTTCATTCATTTAATTTAAAACCTTGTTTTTATAAATTTTCTTTAGAATTAACCTGTTGAGTTTAAAGAATTCATTTAATATAAAAATTTTCTATTTAATCGTGACAAAATAAATTATATTTCTTAATGAGAACCTCATAAATAACTTTTATTTTTAAAAATATTTTTCTATCTTTAATTAGGCAATAAAATATTTAATTACAAATTTCAAATGCTTAGAATCTTTAGCGCCAGCTTTTAAAATCAATTGTTTGAATATAAAAAAACTTTTCCATTTTTTTAAGAAATGTTTTCCGTGCACTGCAGATCAATTTGTGAAAAGGGGTATTTTTTGTGCACCGGATGGCGCCCAATGGTCGAAAGGGTTCTAAATTTAGACCGCTTCGCCATCGATCAATTATGAGTATTTTCCGCACTGATTACAAACCCCTGAGCTTTGTTTATCCCACGGATTTGTGCAAAACAAACGAAATTCGCAACGAAGCCCCGTCTGCGTTTGTTTTCTTTCGCACACGCGGCGTATGAGCAATCTCAGATGGTACACACACACTGACAGTTACGTCACACTGAGCGAATGAGTGGGTTGATGTGGAAGATGACTTGTGGGTGGGAAGACTCATTCCCACAACACTCACTGTTGCAGCATGCCACACATAATAAACAACTTGGGACTTTCAGCGTGACCCCTTCTGCGTGCACTCACCTTTTGGGCCTCTGTTGGGTAATAATAAATCGGCTAGAAAAAGTGGAAAGTCGTTTCCGGAGGGTCCTCTTTCGTTTTTCTCGTGTATCAAAAGGTTTGATTCGTTTAAATGCTTCACAGTTGGTCAAATATTAAGGACAGGTTTCGATTCTGTGCTGTTTGATTTTGAGTTAAGGTACAAAATTAATTTTCTCTCGACTTGGCCCTCTTGCTGTTGAATGCTTCTTTCAATTTTTTTCGACTGTCGTGCTCCGTGCGAAAATCGACTGCTTAACTGGCGGCAAAAGCGACGAGACTACGGCTACGTCGGCCCCCGAATGAGAGAGCCCCAAAGAGAGCGCCGACGCCGATGTTTCCTAGCACTTGCAACGAAGCTTTTCTCGCGAGATTCGCCCCCACCCCCATCGCACCCTCGGGTTCTGTGCCAGATATACACCCGAAAAAAAACCTTAAGATGATATTCAAAGCGAGGAAATGAAAATAAATATATTTGATAGTCTATATATAGTAATCCCTTTTGATATCTCTAACCAATAGACCTTTTTATATTTTTATTTCATTAATATTTTCTTTTCAAAAGGCGTTTTAATAAAATCATTTATTTTAAGTGTCACAAAACAATTTAAGAAAAAAATACTCAAAAACACTCCAAACTATACAGCTTCTGAGACAGGACCAGATTCTTTAAGTGATTTTCCACGAACCGTGACCAAATTCTCAAAAAGTTTCCTGCAACACCATATTATATTTGAAAATAAATATTCATAAATTTAAAATTTTAATTTTAATGACAAATACCACCAAAGGGATTCAATTATTTTTACAAATAAGTTTAATATTTTTAATAATAATTAAATAAATTTTAATTATTTAAGAGGTAGTGTTTTTTTTCGGTGTAGCCTTTGGATATTTATTTGCGTGTACTCTCCGATTCGTGTTGTTACTCATACGCTTACGCTATGCGACCGCTATGTGTCAATAATCGAGCTAAACCTGGCCAGAAGACTGCCTAATCAATAAACGAAATATTTAAAATAGAATTTTTGGGTACTGTTTTTGAGGGATTGGACGAATCACCACTGCAACTGGCTAATCAGTGTTTACTTTTTATTATTGTTGGTTTAACCGTTTGGCCTTGGCCAAAACTATCACATTTCGCGAAAAAAGGGCTGCTGACGCCTTTCGCCGGCTGTCTGTTGTGGGCCAGATAAGTCCAGATAATGAACACGACCGTACCGTCCAGTCATTCATTCAACAGTGCTATCTCTGCTGCAAAGCCCACTTAATTGGGTCTTATCGCTTGGCGGGTCCGCTGCAGTTTGAGAGCCACTGATGCAGTGGCACGCGTCCAGAATCCGTGGACAGGTTGCATAACACTGCTACACTAGCTTACATAACCGCAGTAGCGAGATATCGCACGCCAGAAACAAGGTCAAAAGTTCAAGGACTGGGAAAAGCTCCCGACATCCTGAAGCGCTTGCGTTGCTCAGCGGAAGTCCTCGCGAGTGTGGGCGCTTTGTTTTTGTTGACATTACGTTTTTATTATTTTAAATTATGTACTTTTAATCGGGTCCCTTCGGGCTTCCATTGGCCTATTGTATAAGACCCCCACGAAGTAGGCAACGAAAATAAAGCTTTAAGTGCTTGCGGAGGATTATGTTTAATAAATAATGTGTGTTCGCCCTTTGGCACACGATTTAAAATAGAATTTTTGTTTTAAGTTTCAAACGATTTTATTGGTTTTTCAATTGAATGCATTTTGTTTTCTACGCTTTAATTGGTTTATATTTCTTGGATGTCTTACATTTTAATGATATTGCATATGCCACACAAACTGTCGTTGGCCTCTGTTTTGTTTTATATTTAAGCTTTAAAATCTTGCACAAATCATAAACATGGCAAATCAAATTGAAATTGATTTTAAATAAAATGTTTGCTTCCATATAGTTAAAGCTATGTGCACTTTTTATGTGTGTGTTTTATTACATATCGCTATATAATTTAACATTTGATTTCTCTCCTCACTTTTCTTCCTGATTGGAGTACGAATGATATATTCCGCATACTTAAACACTTCGGTTCAAAACTTTGGTTCCCCTCCTCCTCTTCCTTCGTAATCCTGCTAAGCTAACTTTTACTGGATCTGATTCGATCTCCTACAATTCGCTTTTAATTCTTATCATTGGCCATTTCCGATGGTCCTTCTCCTGGCTCTTAGTTTTGGAAAGGTTGTTAACATTCTTCTGTTGGTCGCACACGTTTCGAATTGGCTTGTCTGTTTGTAGTTGAATGTGTCGGTGTTATCTTTGTGTGTTGTCGGTTGTTGTTTGCCTTTTTGTTGGATTTTGTTATATCACAGCTTTCTTCACTTTTGCTCTTATAACTTTTAAGCATAACTTGCATATACATATATAAACATTGTTGTTAATGCACGGCTGTACCTTATCTTCTTTTCCTTTCTACCCCACCACGCCCGTGTCACACTTGTTGTTCCCCTGAATATCGACATCGGGCCATACTCTACATACATATATTAACACGCTGGCTTCTTGTTGTTGTTCTCGATCAACACTTATCTTAAACTTGGTTGTTGCCTCCCTTTTTGCAGTGTTGCTACTGAATCAGTACATACGTTAGAATAAATCGCATTGGTTTGTTGTGTTTGTGGAATGGTTTACAAAATTGGTTTCGGTTTCCTCGAATTTAAATACAATAAATGGCATATAAAATATATTTTTTTTTGTAGTAAGTATACAAAAAGAACGTTACTCATATACAGCAGCGTTGGAAGTGACTCTAGTATAACAGAAAAACATAATACTTTTTTTCATTTACGTTGATTGTAATTGAATGAATCCATTGATTGACGGCCCTCTAACGTTTAATGATGGCTGGATATTGGCTCTATTCCCTACCTAAACGACACTTTAATTTTGTTTTTTTTTTGAGGTATAGATGTTTTTTCTTTTTATAAGTGAACAAAAAAGTGACTATTCACGTAATATTAGGGAGTTCAGTTTTCGGTTGCATTTAGAAACAAAAAATAATATTGAAGACTATAAATAATTCGGACCCTATGTTTAACTATGTGCTCACTGAACTCCTAATCTTGGTTTTTTTAAATCCCTAGAAACTTAGGTGTCGGATGGCTATGAAATAGAGCTCTTATGTAACATATCTCCCATTAATCAGGCCCTGACTTTCCAATGCTTACTTCTGTTCTCATTGCTTCGGTCGTGCACTTTCTTGGGTGGCATTTTGCACTGGTTGTTATACTTGGAAGCAGCATGACACTTTTATCACATTTGTTGTTGGTGTTGGTTGTTGTGTTGGTACGTACTAGACTTAAATTAAATACACAGCCACAAAAAAAACAGGTCTGCTTACATTATTTGGGCCGCGGATTTGGAATCTCTTGCAGAACCCGACACTGTTTTAGATTTTCTTTTTTGTGGCCGTGTTACAGTGGTTGTTTATCTGCTTGACATTCTTAGATTGCTTCGCTTTACACATGATTTGCACTCGATTTACAAATTAATATTCGCTATTGCAGTTCATAACAAAAATTATTACATGCATTGGTTACATATAGATACATACAAGTATAAATGGTCGATTGGATAGTTGTAAGAGTTGTCTTTGAGATCGCATTTTGTTTGCGGCTGCTTGTCCCAGAACCCAGTGCCATCCTCCACATTGCTCTGACAACGAAGACAACACCCTCGTCGCGATTTTCTTTATCGTTCAGTCTTCTGTTTCAATAGATTTTGTGTTTGTTTAGATTGTTAGATTTGAGCAAGTACTTTGTGGTTGTTGTTCTGTTGTTCTCTAAATGCTCAGCATGATCTTCAGGTACCATTGTTGTTGTTGTTGTTGACGTTGTCATTGTTGCGGTTGTACTTGTTCGTCGGCAAGCAACTCTGGGGAGGATGAGCCGCGGCTCGTGACAACATGCTGCTGTTTTTGTGCAAACATAAGTTAAATATAGTACATAGTTGTATAAATTAATGCCTGTGCTACGAAATACTTAAAAGTTGGTTTGGGTCTTACAATTGCTTAGCTTTCTGGCCCGTTTCTCTGGCCACAACGCATGTACCACACGTGACAGCAAACTTAGCTCTTTTTGGCTATTACAATACATATATTTTGTATTTGCTTACAATTTTCTTTGCTGTTGCTGGTAATATCACTTTAAACTACACAAATGGCGGCGCTTAGCGAACGAGGATCGAGCTCTCGTTGTTGTTACATTTGCTTTTGTTGTTGTTTGTTGGTTTATCACAATTGAGCGCCGGTTTCCGTTCTTATTCACACTACTACAAAGGTTAACAATTTGTGCCAATTGAATTTTGAGCAAACAATTTGACATTGGTCGTAGTTTTGGTTTTACAAACATTTTTCAACACTTTTGTTTTGTTACTTTTAAACTTAGCTAACTAGACAATTCGCTTAACAATTTGTTGTTGTCGTTTTTGTTTTGTATGAGAGTTGGTGTCGCAATTGCTTACACTGGCTTGCACTTGCACTTGCATCTGCACTCGCTTTTGCATTTTCGTTTGAATCACAGTTGTTGTTGCTTATTAAATGATGTTTCTCTAGCAGGTTTCAACAAACTCATTTAGCCCCTTTACATAATTACATTAATTTGTGAAGTGCTCAAGTCTTTTGCTTTGCTCCTTACATTCCTGTTGCTGTTCATATTCGCTTTTAGTCTAACTAACAAGGGCTAATAGCGATTTTGATAACAAAGACTAAAAACTTAGGAAATTTAACGTCTATAAAATGCTTGCCAATCAAAAGGTTTGGTTTACATATACAAATTTTGATAACTTAGTATAACGGTTGAATTTTCTTTTTGCTTACATATCTCTTTTGGGTTTAGTTTTAGCTACGTAATTAGGTTTTGCAATTTTTAAATTAATTTCTATGCGCTCGAGTTGATCACGTGTCATGTTTGCTTTTCATTCGTTCACTTGATGACTTTGCTTCAATTTTTGGTTATTTTTGAGTGAGTCCCTACTTCGACCACTTACTGGCTGAGATCCTGGCGCAACATTTCGTACACGAACTGATCGCGTTCCTCGTAGTCAAGGGCCAGCGATGGCGGCATCTTGTCGGGGGTGATGGGCGACCACTGTTGTCCCAGCAAGGTGCTTATTTCCTGTGACAGAATAAGAAAGGGATGTTCACATGGAGTCCCCGAAGGAAGTAACAAACAACTCACCTCATTAAAAGCATTTAGCGGAGCAGCGCTGGACCAGTCGATCATAGAGACCTCCAGACGCTTGAGCTGCCGACCCCGAAGCCTGGCAATTCCCACGAGGTTGTGCGGATCCATCAAGTACCCGTGCACCACGATCTCCTCCAGCTGCTTGCAACGCCAGGCCATCATTACGAACGGGTCCTGGCGCAGAAAGCCGTGGCGAGCGTAGTCCATGCGGTTGGAATGCTTGTACGCCGAGTCCACGTAGTGAATGCTGCGAAGCGTTTCGCTGTGATGAACCGACATCCAGTCTAAAGCCTCGGCGTTCATCTGCTCGCAGAAGAGCAGTCGCACATGGGTCAAGGGCATGTTTCTACGCAGGACACGATGCTGCAGCAGCTCAATGGCTTCGTAGGCGTACACCAGGGTCAGCACCAGCTCAATGCTTGAGAAATGGTCAGAGAAGTTGGCCCAAGCTGTCTCCGACACGTTGGGGTGCTCCTCGCTGTCCAGGCCGTGCACCGCAATGAGCAGCTTCCGCAGAGGCAGCACCTGAATGGTGTGCAGCAGTTCGTCGGATAGTGAATCGTAATCGAGGGAGAGCACTTGCAGGGCGGCACATTTCTGAAGCAGCGTTGCGTCCAGCGTGAGGATGGGATAGTGACTAGGATCGTACTTAATGCTGGCCAGCGTCAACTGCAACAATTCTTGGGGCTTGCCCATGGATTTTAGGAAGTCGTGGGCATAGTATGAGAGGGCCTCGATGGCCCCAAGATCCAGCAGCTGGCAGGACTGACGTTTGCGGTTCAGGAACAGCTTCAGCGGCTCCACGAAACATCTGTGGGTGTTTTTTGTGTTATTTATCTTAGAAATTAATTATCTGGAGTGGTACATACTGTTCGATGGCCACCGAGTGCTCGCTGTGCATACCGCCGATGGCAACAAGGCCCACATTGTGGGTTTGGAAACGCAATTTCTGAATATTATCACAGCGTGCCACTCTGCGGGTAGAATAAAAGAAATTAGTTTGGCCAGTTTTTCGATCCTCTTAAGGAAACTTACTTGTGTAGAAGTCGTCGCATTTTCTGGATGTGAAATGCATTTTGAAAGTCGAAGACTACAATCAGTTCCCTGGCCAAATTGGCCATGGAGCGATGGAAGAAGGCCAACTGATCATCGATGCCCACATCCAAATGAAAGCGAAAGTTTCTAAAGTAGCTATTGGGTTAAAAAAAGAAAATTGATTAGTGTTAGGCATTTTTTTTAACAACATAAATATTTTTAATGTTGGTAAAAAATTATACACTAAAATTTAAGCAAAAATAAATGTAACTTTTAGTTCTAAGCACAATATAATGTATAATTTAAATTAAACAGAACAGAACACGTACACGTATGTAAGTAATAAAAATAAATTTAATTTCGCTGTATACAGCTTATAGATGATCGGATCAATTAGTTTGATTAATTGCACTTATTGGCACGGGGAATTCCGCTTATCTTGGACTTTCCCCTTTTTCAACACTAACATAAACAAACGGGCCGAGGCGTTTGCCCCACACATTGAAACGTTGCCAAATGCGTCGGAAGATTTATATATTCTGGGGTCTTTCTTTGGTTGCTATACTTGCACAGATGTTTTTTTGTGCTTCACTAGCCCACGGCTATAATATAGGGGTAAACAACAAAGGAAATATACCCAATAAGCTCTGAATTTAAACATTTCAGCCACATACACCCACTCACACACACACAGAGGGCACGAACTTACCGTTTCTGAAAAAATGAAAGTCTCCAGGAATAACAAACACTTGCTGCCGATTTTCGGTCGGGGGGATCCAGATAGTCGAAGATGTGATTTAGTGCCACTGCTGGTATTGTGTGCCATTCTGGTTGGCGTTGGCTAAAATTCATTACTCGAATTATATATTAATTGCGTTTCAAACAATGAAAAGTTGCAAGTGCAGCCGAGTATTAGAGGTGGAGAAACATCGATGCTAACACATCGAAGGCACCGATGTTTTAAGACATCGGTAATATCGATGTTTGACAGGTTGAAAAATGGTCACACCATTTCTCTTCACTGTTAACCATACAAATATCACGAAAAGTATGAGAAGATATGTGGAGATATATTCAGTCAAATTTAAGAAAATTAAAACAAAATCTATTTTATCAATAAAAATATACAAGCTTACAGGTTTGCCTGAACATACATAGCTAGGCCCCCCAATCTCTTCTGGGTTATTTTATATACGTTTTCGTTCCTGTGCTTTCCATGAATTAGTATTTTCTATTTATTTAATTTATAATGTATTTTTACACGACCAACTGGCTTGTAAAAGTTTTGTTATACGGCTTATAAAAACCATTTAAATATATTCTAAACTTTCATAGTGACGCTAAAGTTACTAAGACTACCTAAGGGTTAATCATGCTTAAGAGTTGGCCCTCGGATTATGGTCACACTGATGTTGGGAGGAGTATGTTATCAGTCAGCTGTTCTGTTATACGAAACAGATGTTACTTTATTTCTTTTTAGTTGTTTATCTCGATTAGTTTTTAATTATTAAAGTTAAATGGCAGCATTGCTGCGTTTGCGTGCATGCAGAAGGCAAACACTTGCTGGCACTTATAACTATGTTTACCCAACAACAACGACTGCCCATAACACGTACAATCATCGCCTGGCGTCCACAGAGGCGGCAAACACAAGTATTCAACTAGCGAATGCCGGTGGATTGGTGGGCTTTTGGCAGACTTTGTCCAATAGCACGCCCGTGGCCTACATGCAGGATGTGCTCATCAAGATACACGACTACAGCGGTCTGCCCTGGTGGGCATCCATCGTGCTGTCCACTTTCCTCTTCCGCAGCGTAGTAACCCTGCCACTGACCATTTACCAGCACAAAATCACGACCAGGATCGAGAAGATAGCGCTGGAGATGCCCGCCATCGTGGAGGAGCTGAAAAAAGAGGCGGCCATGGCCAAGCACAAGTTCAAGTGGAGCGACAAGCAGACGCAGATCGTATACCGGCGTTCGGTTTGTTCAAAAGAAAACGTTTTCTATGCACTACTAATTTCAATGGCATTTCAGATCAAGAAGCAGTGGCAGAATCTGATAGTCCGCGATAACTGCCATCCCATGAAGACCATGATTGTGCTGTGGGGCCAAATTCCTCTGTGGATCTTTCAATCCGTGGCGCTGCGCAATCTAGTCTACCTGCTGCCGGATCCAATGGCCATTCAAGCTCAAATCATAGCCACCGAAATGACCATTGGGGGATTTGGTTGGATTCCCAATCTCACAGTGGTGGACAGCTCCTATATCCTGCCCGTAACCTTAGGCCTAATCAATTTGGCCATCATCGAAGTGCAAGCCATGTCTAGAACGCGTCCTCCCACCCGATTGCAAGGCATAGCCAACAATGTATTCCGTGGCCTGAGTGTTGTGATGATTCCAGTCGCCTGTACCGTGCCGTCAGCTTTATGTGTTTACTGGGTGGCGTCCAGCAGCTTTGGCCTCGCACAGAATCTGCTCATCCTCTCGCCGGATGTGCGACGATCTGTGGGAATTCCCAAGACGCAAACGGAACTAAGCCAACCGTACGATTTGCTCTGGCTAAAAATACAGCAGCGGCTCAGGCTCGTCGAGAGGGCACCGGCTGATAAGCCAGAAGCCAAATGATCTTGTTATAATCACCTAGTCTAATTTAGGTAAGACGTTGAGTTTGTTTTGTGGTTTATATAAATATAAACAACCCTTAAATGCGACTGCGCCACTGTAAATCATCATCATCATCATCCTAATGCTGCATCATCTCAATTTCTCTGAAACAAATAAACAAGTAAAAACCCCTGAAAGAAATGCAAACAAAACAAGACGATAAGCCAGCGAGAAAGGTCTTGAGATTACTGGTTCAGATAGTGGCCCACTCAATTGATTCGGCGACATCCGAGAGCATCTATCAGCCGCGGCAGAGATAGAGATTCATCCCGAGCCCAATTGAATTGAAATGCGATCTGGGTCTGAGTCAGTCGAGCCTGGAAGTCGGACGGGATCACAACGAAAATTTTTAAGCGCGTTTCGAGAAGCATAATTGAGTAGTTGCTATCAGCATCGGTGCAATAAAAAAAATACAATTTAAAATATTGAAACAAATCTAAATATGGCCATGTGGCTCCTGGGCCTTTGGCTGGCGATCCTGCTTGTGGATGTTAGTATACAACATTAGTAGTGTTTATTTTGTTTTAAAACTTTAAGTTGGAAAATTATGTTATCCTGTTTTCGGCTCTTCAGCTTTTAAAAGTTTATTAAAAAAAAAACTAACTTATTTTATGCTTAAGTTGTATAAAATGAATGCCTTACAGCTTAAGACTTTAGAAATTTGCTTGCAATTGGGCTAAATTATAAGCTTTTAGCTAAGTATCAATCTAATTGCTTCAGTTCCTCAATAATAATTTCATAATTGCGCTTTCGACAGCGACCCGGGGTTATAGCTTATCGATCGAGCAGCGGCCACCGAAGTGAGCAGTCCGAACAAGCCGGGTTATCAGCAGCAGAACACGGGCATTCGAGTTACGGCGGCGACCAACAGCAGCCTATTTACCAGCGGGACTTGCCGTGTCCGCCGCATTTTACGGGTCTGGTTGCGTATCCCCACGATTGCCATCGCTTTGTGAATTGCTTCCAAGGCAGTCCCACCATCCAGACCTGTTCCCCCGGAACATTGTTCAATGCAAAGAGCCTGGTGTGCGATCATCCCAGCAATGTGGCTTGCTCATCAACGGACTCGCAATCCACTCGCTTGGGACGCCTGAGGCAGTTCGACAGTGAACCGAAGTGTCCACCCGGAGTGAATGGATTGCAACCACATCCGACGGACTGCACCAAGTTCCTTAACTGCGCCAATGGCCAGGCTTTCATAATGGACTGCTCACCAGGAACTGCCTTCAGTCCATTATCGCTGGTTTGCGTGCACAAGGATCAGGCCAACTGTGGAACTGGAGGAGCAGGAGCTTCGGGCCACGGTACGTATAAGTAATTCATGTATATGAACCCTAACTAACACGCGGGTCAGGCTACTCTCCACTGCCCTCGGAGGAACTGGGTTGTCCACCAGGTACACGCGGTCTTCGTCCGCATCCCCACGACTTGCACAAGTATCTGCGGTGCGGCATAGGTGTTAAAACTCAGGTTGAGCAGTGTCCGCAGGGAATGATCTTCGATGGCCCAACTTTGGTATGTGTTCATTCTGGCTCCTTTCAGACCTCCTGTAAGTTTTTTTCCATTCCTTTTCCTTATCCTTACTGCTTGCTTTTGCTTGGTTCATCTGCTTATCCATTTGGATTTATTTTCTCATAAAATGCGGTTCATGCTTTGCTTGTTGTTGGGTTGTTTAACTGTAATATAATTCTAATATTTTTGAACAGCTTCCTCCTTCACCTCTGCTGAGATTCAGGTTAACTATCTCCTGTGTCCAGTGGGAGCAGTTGGTCTCTTTGTTCACCCCTTCGATCAGACAAAGTTTCTCAGTTGTAAAAATGGTAAGGTGGCTGTGCAAAGCTGCCAGCCTAATTATGTATTCAGCATATCGAGGGGATACTGTCAGGTGAAAACACAATTATCCGTCACCGACTATGTGACATTAGTTGTCTCCCAGATCAGCTACGAGTATTGTAAGTTAATTGGTTTTTGTTTTACATTTGAATTCAACACAATATTCCATCAGCACTGACCCTAACTGCCTGTCCTGGCGACATCAACGGCATCTACTTGTATCCCTACGATGCCGAAAAGTACGTTCAGTGCTTGGCTGGCGGCAGAATGTCCATCCTAAGCTGTGGTCCCCAGATGGCCTTTAGTGTAACCCAACGAACTTGTCTTTCACGAGGTCAAGTTCACAGCTCCGATCGGGTGAAGTTCTGGGAAGAAGTTCAGGTTCAGACGTCGCATTCCAACCAGGTCATTCAGGGACATGGTCGAGGCACGCCGTCTTCGCCCCTATCGTGCCCAGCCAATGGTCAGCGGAACTACCCTTATCCGTTCCATGCTGGACACTATGTAAAGTGCCAAAACGGAGTATTAGAGATAGTCTGTTGTCCCGCTGGACTGCTCTACAGTCTGTCCCAGCGACAGTGTGTGGCCCGTCACCTCCTCTCTGCCCATGACTATCTGGATTACACTTACATCAGTACTGAGTTTTCGAGTAAGCTCCCAAAGAAGCATTCCTTCGGTTCGCTTTGACTTGACAGTCCTTTATCCTTCACAGCTGAATTTATGGTGGACCGATCGACTCTTACTTGTCCTCCTCAAGTCCAGGGATACTATTTGCATCCCTTCGATTGCACCAAGTATGTCAATTGCTGGAATCAGCAGACATTAATCGAGAGTTGCACGCCGGGCGAAATCTTCAGCTTTTCTAATCAGAACTGCGTACCAAAGGATCAATGCAAGGGTCCCAGCGACCATGTAGAATACTTAATTGAGACGTCGGTGGTAACGACTTATGAGATGGATGTATCAGGACAAAAGAGCTTGCATAACAGCGGTGCTATATCTTGCCCTCCGGGATCTTCTGGCATTCATCCCCATCCATTCGATTGCACCAAGTTTTTGGAATGTGCGAATGAAGAAACTTTCGTTAAGAATTGTGGACCGGGCACCGCTTTCAGCACCGTCATTAACAGTTGCGATTTTGCCAATAATGTGGACTGCAGTGGCAGAAACTCTTTACACGGACCGAATAAGGTTGCTGATACAAACCCAGGACCTAGCTACCCAACAAAACCAAGGGATACTTATTCACCATCACAATCACCTAGTAAGTCGGACTCCAAGGATTTTGTAGCCTTTTTCGCGTTGTTCACCTGCTTTTACATTTGAGTTTCTCCATTTTGCTATCATTGTATGCCTGCTTTTTAAAATTACAACATAACACCTTAACCCTTTTGTAGGCCCTTCAGCTCCACCTGCAGAGCACCTGTCAGATATTTTGTGTCCTTCTGGAGTGGATGGTTCATTTGTCCACCCCTTCGATCAAACAAAGTTTATCCTTTGTCATGAAGGTCAGCGGGTTCAAAGCTGTCAGCCCGGTTATGTGTTCAGCATATCTAGGGGTAACTGCCAGCTCAAGGCCGAGTTGGTCTACAGCGACTATGTGTCATATATAGTCTCTGCGATTAGCATTGAACAATGTAAGTCCTCTCTTGGGTCGCAATCCTGTTCGTAAATATTCACCATATTTTGATCTACCAGCCATGATACTCTCCGCTTGCCCTGCTGGTACTGACGGTCTTCATCTGTATCCCTATGATGCTGCCAAATATGTGCGTTGTTCTGGTGGCGGCAAGATGTCAATTATAGGTTGTGGACCGCAAATGGCCTTCAGTTTGTCCCAGCGAGCTTGTCGTCCAAATCGGCAAGTGACAAAAGAAGATCGTGTGAAGTATTGGGAAGAGCTGGAGATTGTGACAACGACAACGTATACCAGACAGGACGTTCAGATCCATCAATCTCCACTTAGGGGTTGCCCAGATAATCTGCAAATGAATTACCCCTATCCCTTCCACGCTGGACACTTTGTGAAATGCCAGAATGGGCTTTTGCAGATTGTGAGTTGTCCCCCATCAGCTGTCTACAGTTTGTCTCAACGCAAGTGTATGGGCCCACACCTTCTCTCCACCCATGACTATTTGGACTATGGCTATATCAGTGAACAGTTTTCGAGTAAGATATTTGTAACGAGCCTCTTAAGTGAATACTAGGTCATCCTTTCCGTTCACAGCTGACCTTATAAAGGATCTGTCAACGTTGACTTGTCCTCCGCAAGCCCAGGGCTACTATCTGCATCCTTTTGATTGCACCAAGTATCTAATTTGTTGGAATCAACAAATCTCCATAGATAGCTGTAAGCCAGGCGAGGTATTCAGCATCTCGCGGCAAAGGTGTGTAATCAGTAATAACGTAACGGAAGTTTACGATCGTGTGGAGTATTTGGAAGAAACGCAACATGAATTGAGCCAGGAGGCGGAGGAGGATGGTGAACAGTTGGAGCAGAACAGCGGACAATCGCTTGATGGAGGCTATCAACCGTCATCTCCGTTAACTGGAAAGTATCAGACTCATAATAATTGGAATGGAGATTCCCAGCCATTGCCTCAACAGAATGGAGGTCAGCCACCTTCTCAGGCGAATGTTCCTTCATACCAGCCTCCTTATCCACCGAATGCAGGCTATCAGCAATCTTCTCAAACTATTGGAGCTTACCAGCCACCTTCTAATGGGAATGGAGGTAACCAACCACATGCTCAAGCAAGTGGTGGCTACCAGCCACCCTATCAAACTAAAGGAGGCTATCAGCCACCATATCAAACTAGTGGCGTTTACCAGCCACCTTCTCAAGCGAATGGAGGTTACCAGCCGTCTTCTCAAGGAAATGGAGGCTACCAGCCCCCTGCTCAAGTAAATGCTGGCTACCAGTCACCCTATCAAACTAAAGGAGGTTACTGGCCACCCTATCAAACTAGTGGCGTTTACCAGCCACCTTCTCAAGCGAATGAAGATTACCAGCCACCTTCTCAAACAAATGGCGGTTACCAGCCTCCTTATCCAACTAGTGGAGGGTACCAGCCACCTTATCCACCCAATGGAGCCTACCATCAAACTTCTCAAGCAAATGCAGGTTACCAGCCACCCTTCCAAGCTGGTGGAGCTTACCAGCCTCCTTATCCAGCGAATGGAGGCTATCAGCCATCCTATGAAACTAAAGGGGGTTACCAGTCACCTTCCCAATCTAGTGGTACAACTAACTATCTTGGGGGAGTAGAGCCTCCTGCTGTACCAACTCCTCTGATGTGCCCAGAAAAGGTAAGTGGCCTCTTTCCGAATCCCTTCGACGCCACCGGTTATCTGACCTGCATCGATGGTCACACGCTGGCTAGGCAGTGCCAGCCTCTCGATTTCTTCAGTGTTTCCCAAGGCTACTGCTTACCTGAGCAGCACGTCGCCATCACGGATCGTATTCCGTTTGAAAAGAAGGCAGGCGACCAAATTAATTGTGAGTGAAAAACTCGGAGGCTCAGCTATTCAGGCCCTTGATTCTGACCTTTTTATTGCAGCTTTGTCCTGTCCTAGAAATTACGTGGGCTTCTTTGTCTATCCTTTCGATTGTTCGAAATACCTGAGCTGTGGTCCTAGTGGAATGGAACTTTTAAATTGTCCAGATGAGCAGCACTACAGTGTCTCGCTTGGATTTTGCAAGCCCGAGAATCAAGTGCTACGTAATGATCGTCTGTACACAATCAATGAACTCCACATAATTTTTGAGTGGACTCAGAGAATGAAGATCGCTGGCGCTGTTACCGCGTGTCCTGAGGGAATAACTGGAACCTTGCCGCACCCAAGTGTGCCTAGCAAATACCTCCAATGTGGACCAGGCCAGGCCGAGATGTTCGAATGTCCAAGCCAGCAGATTTTCAGCGTTTCTCGGAGAGTGTGCGTGCTGGATACTAAATTACCCAGCGACGATCGCACCGATTATCTTGTTCGAGGGGTCACTTCCGGTTGGATAGCTCCCTCTAATGGTTACTAACCCCTGGTAAAAATCTTGCTCTTTTTAAGTTTTCTCTCTCTGCTTCTAGACAATCGGCAATCCAAATCTTATGAGACTTCTGGACGAGATCAGTTTGGTAACCGGTATACCACTAGAACTACAACGACAACGCGGGTGATTGGAGACCGTTGGACAGACATGAACATGCAGCGACCATCAGGGGCTGGACTGGAGCAAAACCCTCATCATCATCACCAAGCACCCAACCCAGGATGGATTGGCCAGGAGACATCCTACGTCCAGCGTGGGCCCTCTCAGAATACTCTATATGTGGAGGGATCGTTGCAGCCTAACCGTAATTATCCTACCTATAAGACTCCGTTGGCCCCCATGGCACCCAGCAACCCGAGAAATGTCTACCACGCCCAACCTGTTGAGGAAAAGCAACCAGAGTACCAAAGTCCAGTTCCATCGCGCCAGAACTTTAGTCGCAGGATCGATTACGGTTCTCCCAACAATGACTGGAAGCCAATGCCACCACTTGCTCCTATGGGTGGACAGAAACCATTAGATCTAGACTACACACCCCATTATCCTGGTGCCAGGGAACCCCAAACGCCAGCTCCTCTGCCCGGACAGAAACCCATTGACTTGGACTATGACGACCAACAAACACTCGAAGATCCGTACAACGAACCTCAGCCCCATCCCGGATCACCTCGTAATCACTATCCAGATCAGTTGCCCAGTGGTTCGAAACCAATTGGTAGACAGCAACCAGTTGACTCGAACTCCAATGGTTTTCCAGACCAGCAACAGCCCTTAGATTCCCACAATAGACCTCAGGGATCAAATGCTCCGCCAAGACTTAACCCCAACAGGCCATTGAATAATCAATCCAATCTTTATGGTGGTCTTTTACCACCCAAACCAGATTTCTCGACTAACCCCCAACCCACTCCTCCGCCGCGTCCTTTGCCCTCCCCCGCTCAAACACCTCAACTGGCAAATCGTCTGCACACATTTCCTATTTATCCACCTGTGGGAAACCAAACCTCACAGCAGACTCCCAGACACCCCCACTATAGTCCCTCGTACGCGGGAATCTCCCACTCTGGAAATGCATCCTGGGCCAAAGTCCCGGTGACGAGTACGACGCCAGCACAAGAACCCGACCCCTTCAATCCTGAATCGGGGGAGCCTTTCTATGACGATGATGATTTCACAACCACAACAACAAAGCGGGGCTTGGTGCCACCTCCTTTTGATCATAAGTTCTACAGTCCGCAGTCTCAGATTCCAAGTTTTAGCCAAGGCTCTGATCCCAACTCCCAAACGGCCATCAAAGAGGCTCTTAAACTAATGCTGCGTCCCTATTTTAATCACAGTGGTAATGCCCAAGAGAAACTGGCCAAGCAGGCTGAATCAGCCATAGTATCTGTGATTAGTAAGCCTCCAATCTCTACCACCACCACTACTACAACCACACCAAAACCAACGACGACTACTTCGACGACTCCTAAAACCGACCTTGACTCTGACGCCGAACTTATTAAGGCGGGTGAACAGGAAAGCCTGGATGCCGTTGACGAGGACTATGTTTTTCCAGATGCCGGTGAGACGTCCCGAACCGAGCAGACCCTTGATCCCAGTACCACGTACTCCTCGACAGACTTTCAACGGAGCACCCGCAAGGCGGAGTTTGACTCGATCCCAACCACAAAGAAAAACAATTGGCTTGCGTCTGGACACAATCGTGACTACCACCAGCGTCATCCAAATTTGCCCGATCCGTTCTCCGAGCACCATCCCAATCCATCCTCCCACCGACACCGCCACCCTCATGAACACAAACACCACGAACACAGTGCCGACTTCCATCGTCGTCATCCAGAACTGCCCAATCCATTTCCACACAAGGATGAAACCGACCAACAGGAGGTCCTAGAAGAGGACTTGGAGATATTCCCCAATCCCAATGCTGAGGAAGTGACTCCCAAACTAGGCGTTCGTTCGAGTTTCGATAATCAATGCGACTTCGATTGCGGTGATGGCAAATGCTTGAAGAAGGAGCAGGTCTGCAATGGCCAAAAAAACTGCGATAATGGCAGGGACGAGGCTAACTGCCCGCCGTTGGACTACGAGGTGCGTTTAACAGGAGGCGAAAGCCCACATATGGGCCGTATTGAAGTCAAAGGTGGGTTTTTAATATATTACTTAATTATTACTGATCCCAAATGTTAATCCACCTCCAGCTAATGGCCAATGGGGCTATGTCTGCGATGACAAGTTCGGTCTAAAGGACGCAGATGTGGTGTGCCGAGAACTGGGCTTTAAGATGGGTGCCCAAGAGGTTCGAGGAAGCTCTGCTTATCCTCCACCTGACCAGGATTTTAATTATCTAATGGATGAGGTCGAATGTCATGGCAACGAAACAAAGCTGAGCGAGTGCGCCTTTAAAGGGTGGGGCGTCCACAACTGCGGAGTTGATGAGGTGGCTGGCGTCATCTGCAAGGTTCCGGTGATGAAGTGTCCCAATAACTACTGGCTATGTCACACCTCCAAGGAGTGCATCCCGCCCGCCTTTGTGTGCGACAATACCGAAGACTGTGCGGATAAGTCGGATGAATGCGCGGCCGTCTGTCAGGTGGGTTTATTATAATAGTCCATATTTCCTGCATTATAATCCCTATCATCTATACAGGCCCCCATTCAGTACCGTTTGGAGGGAGGACGTGGTTCCAATGAAGGTCGCCTGGAAGTAAAATACCACGGTGTTTGGGGTAGCGTTTGCGATGATGACTTCAACCAAAAGTCTGCTCAAGTGGCTTGTAACTCCATGGGCTTCTATGGACCAGCGGTATTACAAATCCCATTTTGGCAGAAAATTAGTCATAACTCATTTTTGTATTATTTTAGAAAATCGAGAAGAACATCTTCGGCATTGGCAATGGACCCATTTGGCTCGATCAGGTGATGTGTTTTGGAAACGAAACCAGCCTTGAAAATTGCAACCACTGGAATTGGGGCGAGCACAATTGTAACCACACAGAGGATGTGGCGCTGCATTGCACCGCTGGACCACCACCTCGAAATGGAAAGTTATCTGCAGGTCAATTGAAAGGTGGTAGGCAACTTGGGGGGGAAAGTCCAGCGAGAAGCTACTCACAGATTGGCCTGTGGGAACGATCCAGCAAAGCTCTCCACACTCCCCGTCGTTGCGGAATCTTTAAGGACGACCTGACCGATGAGTACCTACATCGAGAGGAGCGCGTGGTCAGGGGAAATGTGGCACAGCGAGGTCGTCATCCGTGGCAGGCCACCATAAGAACCAAAGGACGTGGTGGCATCTCCAGTCACTGGTGTGGAGCGGTAGTGATTTCCAAGCGCCACCTCCTTACCGCTGCCCACTGTCTGTATGGAACTCGAAAGGGATCATACTTTGTCCGCGTCGGAGATCACTATGCCAATATAGCAGAGGCCTCCGAGGAGGATACGTTCATAGAAAACTGGTACACACACGAGAACTTCCGCCAGGGAACCCATATGAATAACGATATTGCCCTGGTGGTGTTGAAGAGTCCTCTGAGGTTTAGTGACTACGTCCAGCCAATTTGCTTGCCTGATAAAAAGGCAGAGCTCGTGGAAAACCGTAAATGCACCATTTCCGGCTGGGGTTCCATTAAATCGGGAGTGTCTAGTAAGTATCTTTCAACTTTGTGATGCTCAAAAACCACATATATGGCTATTATTTATTATTTGTTAGCTCCTGCGCAAGTTTTGGGTTCCGCTGAGCTTCCCATTTTAGCAGACAACGTTTGCAAGCAATCAAATGTGTATGGATCGGCCATGTCAGAAGGTGTGTACTAAGCTATTATGATAACTCAACCGTCATAATTGTGATATTGTACCCGTAAAACTAGTTTGTGCAGGAATTAACCCCCCAATTCTACTATATTTCAGGCATGTTCTGTGCTGGTTCCATGGATGAGAGTGTGGATGCCTGCGAAGGTGACTCAGGCGGACCACTTGTTTGTTCCGATGACGGTATAAATAGAAATTATTTGTTCTCAGACAAAAACTTATTTTATTCAAAATTTTAATATTCCAGATGGCGAGACATTGTACGGCCTTATCTCGTGGGGTCAGCATTGCGGCTATAAGAACAGACCGGGTGTCTATGTCCGTGTCAATCACTATATTGACTGGATTTACGAGAAAATTAATGAGAGCTTGCTTCGCTTGTAAGGGAACGCATTTCCCAGGCCGTTAATATTCATCTTGTTACATGACTATTATTTCATAAGAATTTTGTAGTGAGTTTACAAATAAAGCAGATTATTTTGAAAATGTAAAGTTTTGATATTATAAACATTTTATTGTTTATTTTTGATATGTAAAACATTCAATATTTTGAATCTCAAACATAATTTATTTAATTGTGTGAATTTACATCAACCCATTAGCGACTACAAACTAGTATTCTCCATTTATCAACGCACACAGAAAAATGAATTAAATCCATAATCAATGCTAATAAAACGCACAACAACAATGGAGCTTTTAGCCCGAGATACAAACACCGTACTCACAACAAACTACATACATCGACGACAATGATTTAATTCACAAGTCTGCAATGTTTTTTTGACTCATCCCCCATTCAGAGAGCTCTAATCGACTCGGTTCTCACCGAGTTTTCCTCCTGGCTGCTCCGTTCCACTTTCTGCAACAACTGGCGGTCCAACCGGAGGAGCGGTACACGCACTCAATTGACACCGCACACCAGAGCGGTCAAAGGGGAGCACCCGGCGGATTGGTGGAGGGGGTGGTGGAGCGGGAGGGGGTTGAGCTGACCGGGCAGCGGAGCTGTTTACGCGCACTGCTCGCATTGTGCGGGCGTTGCACGCGCGATTGGATGATCGGCATGGAAAGCGCTACAATTAACTTAATTAATACAACAATTTGCCAACATACACTGAAAAAAAATGTTTTTAAAAACATATGAAACATATATCAAAATAATATCCATTTAATAAATGAAAAAAAAATATTTTAGTTTGGAAGAGTTCATTTGCTCAATATAAACGTATTACTTAATTCCGCATAAAAATATAAAAAAATGTTACAGACATTTTTTGAGCTCTAAGTAAACACTTTAAAACCAAATATGCCGTTGACAGAAATTTCATGAACTTTAAGTAATCATTTTAATAAAAAGCCAAACAAAAAAATATATATTAATTTTACATAAATTTATTTGGTAAATATTCTAAAGCAAAGCAAGCAAAATATCCTGGAAAATGTGAAAAAATGTACTTTAAGTCACACCAAAAATTAGTTTTGTGGAACATTTCCAAATTTTGTAGTCACAGTCTTGATTCTAATTATGGAAACAAATTTGGAAAGTTATAGATAAAATTAAAATTTTTTGCAGTGTGGGAAACAATGTTGCCTGTCTTTTAATTCTGTTTTTTTGAGTGAAAGAGTAAACTCGGGCGGTTCCTCGGGGTATCTCTCTGTCTCTCTGAGTGCGATCTACGGACTGTGCTCGACTCACGTTGGGATTCTCTGTTAGTTGATTGTGAAATTTCATCTGGAACAGATCGCGTTCAGTGGCTAATCAGTAGCAAAACAGGAGTCTTTCCCACAATGTTCACCAAGTACTTGGCTTCCTTGGCGATCTTCGGCCTCTTTTGGGGCCTGATTGCAGGAACTGCAGTCGAGCAGTACGGGGTATATGGAGGATCGTCGATTTCCTCAACGGAACGCATCAACACGGAATTGAGGTGCATGAACATCAATCCGCAGCAATCGGTGAATTTGGAGCAGGTGAGAGCAGATTTTTCAGAGTCTGGGATTATCAGCATCAGCCAGTCTTATTGTAAGCTAATTTGAATACGAAGATCTCATTGCTGGCTAATGCAATTATCTTCGTTTTGTTCTAATTAACCCTTTGCGCCCAGAGTGCGCCAATGTCAATGCTGTGCAGTACCCTTCCCATGTTTATTTAATTTTTCATTGTGGGCATTTAATTGAACGCACAGCGAGTGGCATGCAAATCGCACAAATGACCCCCATTCGCTTTTATATGAGTGTGTAATAAAGCCCAGCCTCTCTGCATGTATAGATAATGGGTCTCTGGTACGGCAGCGAGATTATCGTGCATACCCAAGACTTTCCCGGAACCTACGAGTACGACTCATGTGTGATTATCCATCTGGCCGATGTCACCGATCAGGTGAGTTCCTCAAAGCCAATAGTTTCTAGGTCTAGTTCTCTAGCTATGCTGCATATTGCAGATTCGTTTCGGCCAGGCAAACCGCGGCTATGGAGCTCAGGATTACAACCGGAATCAGAACAACTATGGGCGCACCACCACAACCACGCAATCCTCATATCAGGACACCGACGAGTACCACAGGCGATCCTTCCAGCAGAGTCAGCAGAGGTATCTGCGTTTGGTGTGGAGCGAGCGGGATAACAACCTGGAGTACACCTTCAACTATACCATCGCTGAACCTGGTCGGTGGTCCAACATCGGCGATCAGCGGGGATCCCTGGTTGCCCTGAACACCTACACCCAGTTCACTGGCACCGTCCAGGTGGTGAAAGCGGTCAACGATCACCTGGTTCTGACCTTCTGCGGCAACGATCTGAAGAGCTCTATATACACCGTGGTGCTCTCTCGCAACCGCATGGGCCTCGGTTCAGATGTGAGTAGTTTTCAACTTTCATGGTGTATAATAATTTAGTCGACCCTAGATTTCATTTTTGTAGGTCTATCTATTATCTATAAATATAAATATATATATTCGATTGCTAATCTTGTACATATTTAAAAAAATACCCATTTTTTCTGATAACATTGCTGATTGATCAGCAATATATTTATATATTTAATAGCGTTTAATAATAATAATAATAACACAGTAGGTTTTATAGTTTTTACCAAGAGTTAGCCACGCAGTGAACTGAACATTTCCGTCCCTATAAAGTATATATATTCTGATCAGCATCAGCAGGCGAGTCGATCTAGCCATGTCCGTTGGTCCGTTTGTCCCTTCGTCCGTCCGTTAGTCTATCTGTCCGACGGTTTGTTTTAAGTTTTAAAAATATTTAAAAAAATTATTTTTGCTGTTGTATGTAAGTCAGAATGGGCCTACTCCCACAGGAAAAAATGTAAATAAAATGATAAGATCGTTGTTTCTTAGCAATTTCAGTAATATTGCTATATATTTGCCATAGAAACGATGGAAAAATATTAAGGAAAATCAAGCCAGATTTATTGTTTAAGCATTGAAATCGAAATGTAGAATTGTTAATTTTTGGAACAGCTGGAAAGGTATAAAATAGGTATAATTTATTAATTAATTTAATTAATCAGAGAAAAATTGTGAAATTTGATTATTTTTTATTAAAAACAGATTCTATTATAATTGCAAGTAACATACATTTTTCTCTCGGTTACGTCAATTTATTGATTTAGTTGTAAACAAGTTATTTACTAAAAGTATGACTGATTAGCATGATGTGTAAACCTGTGATTATTAAGAGGTTATTTAAGGTTACTTTGATTATAAAATTGCATATTAACCAGTATTAGATGAGAATCTTAAAGTGAATAATTATTCTTGTTGATTTGTTTGTCCCAAAACTAATTGTTTACGTGTTTTCGACATTTTCCAGGAGCTGCGCAGCATCCGGAATCTGCTTTCCCGCCGCGGACTCTACACGGAGACTATTCGCAAGGTCTGCAACGGATGTGGGCGGCTGAGCGGCAGCCTCTTCGCTCTTTTCGCCCTTCTGCTGGTCGTCCGCTTGGCGTGGGGGCGTGGCCAGTGAGCTGGAGGGTTCGCCAGATCGCCGATCATTAGCCGGCGTATTTAATGAGTCCAGCCATATTACGTTAAATTATGTATAAATTACTTAAGCAATACAGATGCGAGATCGCCGAGTGCACTCCCCGAAAACTAACTCGCATTGCTTCCGTTTTAATTGCTCGTCTTGTCAATTAAAGTCAATTAGACTGGGCTAGACTTAAGTGGGCATTAGCCGTTGGTTAGTTGTAGGCGTTAAGTGTTTTCTTAATTCAATTAGCAGGGATCTCCACCCGCTCAACGGAATTTTGGCCGGAACTTATTCGGTTGCGACCCTAACGAAATATTTTCATACTCCCTCTCTGGATGGATCGCGAAACCCCAAAAGTAGGCAACTGCCAAAATGTATACACACAAATTACTCATACGTCTCGTTGACACAGTCACACACATCCAAAGCCAATGCCACACGGCTGTCCGATTACGTTGTTAACATTTCATTTTTTACACTATCAGCACTTGCCGAAAAACGAGCTAATCGTTCTTTATCAGGCCTAGGCAACTGGCATCTACCAAAAGCTACACTCAGGGGATTTTATTAGGAATAAAGAAAGAGTTAAGGTCCCCCGCAATCTAAGCCATAAAATCTGGTCTATAGCCTTTGAATTTCACGCGATTTCTTTAAGATCTCACAGTCTGGCGATTTCTATATTTATACATACTTCTTTGCCTTGTGTTATTGCCCATTTCTTTGTTGATAAGGTTTATAATTGGCATAAATGGGAACAAACTCGCTCTGTTATCAGGTCGAAAAAGCCAAGCCAAAATACTAAAAAGTCTGGACACACTCGTAAAAAAGAAAACAAACTCTTCAAGTGTGTGTGGAAAAGTTTCGGCAGCAAATTATTCCCAATGATCGCGATGATTAATTTATTTTCAGCTGTTAAATGCATAGGCTTTTCAAGCACTACCAGACAACGTGCCAGATTGCTCAGCCCCCGCTGAGTCTGAATCGCACTTGAACTTGGAGTGCGATCATAGGTTATTGTTTATTTTTGTTATTGTTTGCTTAACGATTTTTCACCCGCACACTTTCTGGCGGATTTTACAACGCCTGATTGCAGTCATAGACCGTGTGCCAGCTTGACGTTTTGTTTTGAAAATAATAATTCACAGGCAGCCGCCGACTCACGAACTGATAAGAACTCGCCGCACACGTAGAGTGCTCATGATAGTAAGTATCACAGAAGAACGGAGCAGATGGAGCATATCTTACACCCCGGTCGGACTGCATAATCAGCTGGGCAGGATGTGTCTAAAATAGGCTAATGTAACCTCTGTCATGGCAGCCATGAGCCAGCTAAATTTCTGTTGAAAATGTGTCATTTACAGATGGACTTCTCTAACACGGAACCCATGACCTATACAATACACATTTTATACTTCCAGATTATTTTAGACAGCAAATTGTCTGCTCTGTTATCAAGTGACAAACAAAAAACTGATATCACGAAGATGTCCAAAGTGCATTTTTAAATAATGAGGAAACTTTTTGAAGTTGTATTGCATTTTGGAACATTTCATAAATTGATAGTGCGATTGATTTATGTATTCGACTTTTTTAAACACCCCTTAAAAAAAGTCAAAACAATTTAAGTCAAAAGTCTCATCTGGTTAAAAATGTTATCTGAGGATTCCAAAAAGTTTTCTTTAACTATCTCCAATCTTGGTAATCTTACTTTTCCCCGACTCTGGGTAAATAGGTTAAAGTTTTTAAAATAGGTCAGTTCGAGTCGCAGATGTTCGCCTGTACATAACGTACTCTTAATGATGATTTACGTCATCGCTTGAGGGGTATTAAATTGTGCAATATTGGCACAGCTGTAGAGATCAGCCTTTGGACTTTGAATGGCACTTGGGCACTACGATGAAGGCAATTTCTCCTCTTTGGTTACGGATACATGTCTAGACACTTATCCAAGGAGTGTAAACAAAACCATTTAAAACGAAAAACAAACTTTGATTGAAAGTGCGTCGCATTTCGCAGTGCATTCGCATGCAGGCCGTGCAAATAATGGCCTGGTCCTAAGCTAATCAATTAGCAACCCTTTTGAGCAACACCTGATAAGCCCCAACTACTTGGAAGATAGTGACCATACATGCGCTAGAATCAACTGCTGATAAGGCATCGCTATAAATACTGGATCCGGAGCGAAGTGAGGCCACAGAAACGAATCGAGCGCGCCAATGGTCGGACGGATCCAATAGAAATCCACATATATAGAGTCAACTCTATAGAAAAAGAAACCCAACTGTGATATCAAACAAAAAAAACACACACAATCCCAAGATGTCTGCTCCCAACAAGGTGAACCACTTGATTAGCGCCACCACGCGTTATATTGCCGGACGGAATGCAATGCAGACGGTCTACTGGCGAACCTCCGCAGGACCCAATCCCCGGATGCTGAAGACCAACAAGTTGCAGAACTTCGACCGCACCCAAAAGGCACCCCAAAGTGTCCGGCTGCAGAACTACAATCGCAGCTTTATCCGGGATTAATGGAGAATTTAATTAGTTTTAGTTTCGACCTTGACATGTTCCTAATGTCGCGATAGACATAATTTTTTTGTGCACTTTGTATTTATTGTATAGAGTATTTTCTGAGGCGATAAACCTTATCGTGCGAATTAGAGTTAATCGAATCAAAACGAAGCCGGCGCTACTACTTTTCATGTACCTTGGCATTATAAAAAAATTACAAAGATTAAATAAATGCATTCTAGCGCGTAGATAAGAAAATAATATTTGTCGTTTTTCTCGATCGAAGTCTGGCAGGGGTCTACTTAGTGCGTCATCGACTCCAAGGGCAATGACATAAATCCCCTTTCCATCGAATGTTCCGTGTTTTGTGGGTATCCGTATTGAACTTTAATAAAAAGACCGTACATTCCTTCGGTTTATTCCTTTTTTAAGATTTTATTTATTTAGTTTTATATTTATTACATACATTGAGTTCTCGTATATATATATTTTTTGGGTTTTATGTTTATGCTTTACTTTCTTTGTTGTATGTAATTATTTCATATAATTTTTCATTTAGTTTTATAATTTCGTTTTTAGATATCGTTCTTACTTATGTTTTATAGTATATTTTCGCGATTTTTTCTTTTTTTTTGGTTTTAGTTAATTTAATTTGCTTTGTGGGTGAAATATGTTGACGTTAATTTTTTATTTGGATTTCTTTTTTTTTTAATTTTTGCGTCTTATTATGTTTATTGGGTTGATCTTTACTTAAAATTACAGCCTTTATAAATAATTATTTTTTTATGCTATTCATCTTTTTTTTTAGCTTTTCCGTTTTCTCGAATTTTGTGTTCTCTTATATGTTTTGCTTTATACTTTTTATTTCGCTTGCCGTTGTACTACGTATTCATTTTTCTTTCGTTATAATTTTACTAAATATATATAGAGACTTTTTCCTTTCCGCATCGTATTTTGATGGATCTGAATAATTTGCACACATGTATGTATATAATATATATGTATATATATAATATAATTGTTATCTAAATATATACTCATATAGACCTCATATATATTAATTCATATTTGACAATTTCAGTTGGGCTTAGTGTCTGGCTTTGCTTTTGTAGTGTAGTGTAGTTCTGGTTTTTCTCTTTTCTTTTTCTTTTTTTTTTGCACACGGAAGATTTACACACATGAATAAAAACCGAAAAAATACACACAAAACTTGTGCATTTCCTTAACTAGCTTTGGTTTCCATTTTGATACTTTTTGGAATATGTTATGTTATTTTATGACCTCGTTTATTTTTTGCCTAACTCAATTCACATCAAAACAGTTTTCGTTTGGTTTATCTCAAAAGAGAAAAATATATATTAATTATTATCTTTGTGTTTTACTTTTATTAAATCCATTTTCCATTTGGTTTTTGATTAAAAAATATTGCAGCTCAAAATTGTAATACTTTGGTTTTTCAACATTAATTAATTTACTTTACTTATGTCCTCCCTAAAGCATAGAACACAGTAGAGATCAGTTGGGTTTTCCTCTAAAATCGTCCCCTCCGCTACCGCTAATCCTACTCCACACTCCTTCTATGCCCTCTGAAATCCTTCGTGTCCTTGCTGATATCATTTCCTTAGTGGGCTGCAATTGCTTGATCTGTAATTTCTCTGGGTAGTGTTTTTCTCGGGCGTGTCTATATTTGTGTCGTCTGATTTACGTATTTCCTTGACTCTACTTTTATGCTGCTCAGTATAGTATATGTATTTTAGACTCTTATGTACGGTAAATTGTTTGCTAGAAATGTGTTTTCTTTTACGGAAGAATTTGGATACATTTTCTTAGTTCCACTTGATTTTAGCTAAAAGTATAATTTGTCTAGTATTTTCTTTACTCTTCAGCTAATCTTTGCTATTTTTTTTCTGGTAATCCTATCTCTCGGTTTATACCACATTCATTGGGCGCTTTAATTGGCTTAACATAGGTGTATCGGTATCTGTATCGCGGCGTCCGTATCCTTCTCTACAAGTGTATTTATTTATTTATCCTGCATCGGCTTCAGCACAGATTCTCACAATGTGCAGCATGCACTTCGATTTAATTTTAATAATTCTATATATTTTGCAACAGAATTTCGGCTTTTTGGGGGTTTGGATAATGGGGAAAATAAACTGAGTGGAATGGGCTTAATGGACAGTTTTGTCAGCAGAAGGCAATAAACGAAATTCTGTGCAAATATTTGTGGAAACAAGGTCGACTAAAAAGTTTACCAAAAGGAAATCCAAGAGAATTGCGTAAAAATTTCACAATTTTTGTAAATTCTTCATTTTGTCGTGTGTTCTTTGGGGTGTCGGCCTACTTCGATTCTCTCTCGTGACTAAAAATACTCAACAATTTCGTTTACATGAAACCATTTTAGCTACAATTTATATTTGTTGTATATATGGTTAAATATTTCCTACACATTCGCTTTCAACATAGATAGAAAAACCGCTTTGTTTTGTTCTTGTTGTCGTTTTGCTTTTCACCATTTGCCATGTTTTGCCTCTACATAGAGATCTCGCTCTAGAAATTGCTCTGTATATGTTAGAAATCGTAATTCAAAAAGATTCTTTTGCTGACAACAATGATCCAAAACATATTTTTTAATGCGGGTATTACGGAGGCTAAGGACCCATTGGATCACTAATTACAACAATAATCCAAACACTTCTGGGCGCTATTTGCATCTCCGGTCGCAAACTACGTAATGCACCTATGTGTGGTTAAAGTTAATCCTCGATAAATCTAAAAGAGTTCGTTGCACGTTTATTGTATTCTTAGGCTCACCCGATCCAGGGAGACCTCTTCCAGCGTTTCTATTACTCTGCAAATTAATGATCTACCAAAACTCATATCGTGTCTTCCGGATAATGGGACTTTTCAATTTTCTTTATACAATATTCATCACATTTTCTTGTGGGGTTTTTTGCCTAGTTCTGGTTGCTAATTAATTTATTTATTATTGCTGCGCCGTTACTTTGTTAGTTACTAATGTAAGTACAATATCATAAAAATAAAAATAACACTGTATATTTTGTTATTTACCATTAATTTCATTTCGCTTCTTTTAATTGTTCATAAATTATGCCTTTGTATTTTACGCTTGGTTTTTTTCTTTATTGTAAATATAAATATATATAATATATATCTCAGGTTTTCCATTTATTAAGTACAATATAATATAACCATATACAAAGCGGCGCCCCCATCAAGCCTCCATCCTGCATCCTTCATGGGCCTCTTGACCTCTGACCTCCACTTACTCCGTGTGTGGCATTTGAAAAATTCGTAAACGGTTAGTACACTTTTAATATTCTTAGTTATTTTTTAGCGTCAGTCTTGTGTAAATTAAATTTTACTTCAAAAAACGTTTTAACACGCACACACGGAGCACAGTGAAGCCTCGAAGCATGAACGCCCACTGGGCAGGGTTTTTCTGCTGCTCTCTGTCGAATCCGTTTTCCATTTTTTCCGCTTTCCTCGGACCGCTTCTTGTTATAAAAAATTGCTGCTCGACTTTACATATACATATATATATTTAATAAAATGTATATAATATATGCGTGTATACACATATAAGGTTTATTCAATTCACACGTAGACGTTTGTTAAAAAATGCATTTTTCTTATGTAAAAATGTTCGGCTTTTCCATTTCTTATCTGCCCCTGTCGTAAATATTATAATTTGGTATCTGATTACCACTTTATTCTGTGTTGAGACGCCATTGAGATATTGTTCTTGTACGTTTCCATATATGTATTTATATTAGCATATACTAACCATCGCCTAAAGTGTATGTGTTTTGTATACCTCGTATAGATTATAATTACTTTGGTTGATCGCATTCGGGAAGATTAAAGTTTACACACGGTAGTGAGAGATAGGAGTTTAAGACGAGCGAGCTTAGCAAACCAATCGTAATTGAACTACATTTAGATTTTAGATAAGTTTAGTCCTAATAAATTGCCGCCTTCCTCTGTACTTTTTTTTTGTTTTCCACTTTGAGATTAGAGCTAATTTGACACAACCGTTTAATTCAACTATTTTATCATATCGTCTGCCTAACGATTCGCTTCTCGACTGCCATGCTACTGAAAGATTCGTTGCTTTTCGTATTTCGCAGCACCTGGAAAGTATGCTACACTTGATCAGGAGGAACTGAAAAGGAAATAATAACCAAAAAAGATTTGAAAATAAACAACGGTCGGTTTTTGTTTCGGGCTCTCTTTTTTATTAGCTTTAAGGAATGACATTCGGTAATCTGAATCTAAATCTGAAGACGAACACATAATTTGGAATCAATTATATACACTCAGAAACTAAACGAATTTTGGTAATACATTAGGTTCGAAAGGTCACGAAAGAACAAAGATTAAAGTTGAAACTGGCAAAAATTTTGAAAAGTTAACTGAGCCAAAGTGCTCAATGGAACGATACAGCGATCGAAAATATTCTTGATCGGAACACCGGAAGATAAAAGTCTTGAACCCGAAACTTTTTGCAGGTCCAATAGTCAAAAGGCTTTGCTTGGGGGCCAAGAGTTCAGATCGGGTGATTTAGCTTCGGGCTTTCGGTAGGTATGATGGTGCAGTGTGATCACTGGGATGTTCCCACTGGGGTTCCCGATTTTGAAGAAGTTTTGGATATGCTTGGGTTTTGCTTCGGAATAACTCGGATTGGCTGTGTGGTCACATGTGATGGGAAACGACGTTGATGATGTTGCCCCGGTTGCTAATCTGGTCCCTTTCCTATACTCTCTCTGTTCGCTCACACACCCTTATAGCTGCCCAAAAACGAAAAACTTTGAAACAAAACGTAACGAAAAACGAATAGAACAATCTCAACTTAGAAACAAGTAACGAGGACCCCGATGGGGTGGTAAGCGTTAAGCTTTTGGGGTGGTAGGATAATTTTCGGAATTAAAAAACAAAAAAATAACTAGAAAACATGGGCTTTTGTGCGGCGCCGCCATCGTCGGCGGGATCCCACTTCCTATCGATGATATGGGTTCGTATCGTATACGCTTCGAGACTCTTCTCAGGTCCTTCTGTACCCCACAGGACACCATCTTCTCTTTCCCGTTCTCCAGTCGGGTCGTCTATACTTTCTAATTTTTACTGGAGAACTCGGCCTTCTGTCTTGAGTTCGTTGTGTCTCCTCAGCTGCGACGCCCTCTGAAGAACCCGCCGATAATCCCAGAACAGGACGCTATACCCTGGGCATAGTGTCTCTCAGATCCTCGATACTCCAGCACGGCGTTTGTGGGTGCGACTGCGGGTGCGTTTGATGTGGGTTCGTCGACGGCGAGTGCATCAATGGTGAATGGTTTTCTGAGAGGGGAAATGGAAAGGAAGAGGGGAGGAATGCGGTGGTTTCAAAAAAACACACTCGGGTTTCAATAAACGCAGTAAAAGCCAAATGTAAGAACCAACCGAAAAGCGAAGAAGGGAAAATTAAATAAAGGTAAACCAAATAATTTGCTATTCATATTTTTTTCATCTCGTATTTTTGTGTTTTGCATTTTGCTAAAATTATTAAGTAGCTGTTGCTTTATTGTTATTGCTATTTATGCGTTCTTTTCTTCTTTCTCATTTCTATATTTATAGGTAGTATAGTGTGTGTAGGTGTGTATGTGGTTAAATATGCTTCGTTTTTGTTTACTTTTTGTGATGATCATGGGGCATTATCCTCGTAATATGCACGTATATATAATTATACAAATTAGACTCCATAGAAGTAGAAATTGATCTCCCTTCTGGGCCTGCGCCTTTTCAGCGTTCTCGTCTATCTCTTGTATATTATGTAATTGCTGAATTCATTTAGGTAGGTAGGTACTTAGTCTAAAAACATTTTGTGCTCTTAGTTGAGCTGCACTTAATCAGTTGATGTTCCTTCATTAAAATATATATTATTCTTTGCGCTATGATATATATGTATTGTATATATATAATTTTTCACTTTCCTTTTACTTTTGTCTAATTACTATTTCTTTTTTGTTGGTTTGTTTGTTACTTGCCATTTGTTCATTTAATATATGTATATATAATATAAATATTCACTATATATAAACTAAATAGATTTTTACGATGGGACAATCTGCGCTCTGCTCTTTTCTGCTGTTCAGTAAAAACTTAAGAACTTCTTTTCGCTCTCCTTCATTCAAGTCGTACAATAAATTGAGTTTACAAACATTTTACTCTTTTGTTTTGGTTTTTGTTTTGTTTGTTTTGTCAGCAAAAATGTTCATTCATTCTTTAATTAATTAATCGTTATGATTTTAATTATGCCTTGGCATTATCTTTATAATGTATATATGTATATATCTGTATAATATATTTAATATTGTTTTAAACCTAAACAATTTATTTATGAATTTTCGCTTTCAAAATATCACGTATATACTTAAGTTATGCCTTGGATTTATTAGTTATGATCTGATCTTTCTCTGATTAGTCTGCGGAAGATAAAATTGCTGGGATGGCTGGTTAAGAGTGAATCAAACTTATTTTGAAATTAGGCAATGTCTCTTAAATTTGTCCCTCACTTTCCTCCCAGCAATTTGGATTCTCTGGGAGTCTCCAGAATTCGAACCCATGCTTTCAAACTAAATAAAATCCCTATTGACTGACATACATGTAAGTACTCTTGGTTGGTGGTTTCTATGTTGCTTCTTCGACTTGATTTCAGTTTTAGTTTTTAACTAGAGCATGCCTAAGTGAATTATTGCTTTCCATTTCATTACATTTTGAGTTGCTTCGTTTCAACAAAGAGTGATTTCTAATTATTGTTACAATTCGATTTAAAAATGTTTTGTATTTAACTATTTAACAATTTAGTAAAAATTTGTCAACAACTTCACAGCGAAGTCCATTTGCGGCGGCAGCGAGTCACTAATTTGATGGGGGCGACCTCGGCGACATCTGTTTTAGCAGGTATTTTTGAAACCTCTGGGTTGGTTTATTACGTTCGTCACAATACGTTAACAGTATTTAGTGGGCAAATAATTTAGTTTCGTTCAATAAGGCATATACGTATATATAAATATTTATTTCGAATTTTCCGTTAAGGTATTCTTTTCAGCCAAATTATGCACCAATTTTGAATGGAATTCGCTCGCAGGTCGCCGGCTGCCCCCGCAAATGTTTGGCCATCGCGTTTTGTATTACTTTAAATAATTTTGGTTAACACATCTCGCTTTTCTCGTTCGTGTTTTTGATTAGTTTGATGCCATCATCATAACAATAGATACAACAGAATCTTAAGTGAGTGTAGAAAAACAGAAATGATAAATCAACATTTTCGCAGAGTTCGTCTTGCTTGGTTTTTCTTGTACATTAGTTTATTAAATTATTATATTATTTTACGTTTGCTTGCTTTTCGTATATATTTAACTATATTCTTGTGTAACACACACCTATGAGTGTCTATGTATTGCTTGAGTTTTATCTATTTTCCTTGTCGCTAGAGCTTTGAGTTTAGCTTTCCTTTAATAGTCTCTCTAATATATGCCTCCCGTTTATACTGGCCGGGAGTTGTGTGTATGTTTTTCGCATTTTTTTAGCTAGCATATTTTGAATATCTTTATTGTATTTTTTTTTTTTGTATTTAGTTCACTTTTTGCTTGGCTTATGTGGCTAGTTTTTATGATTTTTACTTTATCTCCTTTTAGTATTTTCGTTTAGACTAAAATTTCGTTCAGTTTTCTTTTGCTTGGCTTACAAGTTAGGTTTTTCCTTCTCAACGAGTTCTGATCGGAGAGTTCAGGGATTTTTTTTTTATAAATTATCCTTGACTTTCTGCTCAGGATTCGTGGGTGGTGTGCGTGTGTGTGTGTGTTTGTAATTGTGTGATTTAGTGTATGCTTGCTTTGCTGCTTGACTTTGTCGTCTCCTTTGCTTATTCATCTTTTTGCTTTGTATTGCTGTATGTGTCTGTGTAGGACAGTTACAGTTACGAGTTACAGTTACTTTACGCTTTATATGTATTGTATATATGTATATAAATTAATTTATGCATAATATTATGTCTTTAATCTTCGATCGCTGCCCTTTTTCTTAGCTACCATATATAGTATATGTGTGTTATGAATTTTACTCAGTTATTCCCTATAGTATATATATAAGTGTGTGTTTGTCCTGCACGTGTGTGTGTGTGTGTGAGTGCTCTTCACATTTGCTGTTTCTGTATAATCCAGTAGTGTGTATTTAGCATGATGTTTCCTATATAGTATAGTTTAAATATGGTTTTAAGTTCTCTCCAGCTGCCTCTACATATATTTTTCTGTCTTTCACTTGCTGACTTACCACACACACACACACACTGCAGTTTTGTCAACGTTCCCTATGGTTATAGCCACCCCCTCCCCCTATCCCCCTCCCCTGCTCCACCGCTAATTGCACATCATAAATGTTTCCTCTACCAAAATGTTATCCCCCATCACTCATCACTCGTCACTCACACTCGCACATCGCAACATCTCTAATAACATAAGCAGCTTACTTTACAGCATTTTGCAATGGTTTCCTTGCGTATATATATGTATATATATATGTTTGTGTGCTTGTGTGTGTGAGTGTCCTTCCAGAGCTTCTACCTTCAAAATACGATTTCCTTTGACTAAACATTTCCGAAATTGCAGCTGTGGTGCGTATTTTCTGTGTGTGAGTTTATATAAATTCTATTTATGCTTTGTAGTTTACTTTTGTTGCTGTTGTTGTTGTGGCTTTTTGTTGTTTGTTTGTTGTTGTTGTAGTAGTAGTAGTAGCATCACTATTGTTGCTGTTGCTGCATCCTCAAAGTTAACATGGATAAATTCCTACAAAATAATCGAAAAAATTGGCAAAAACTTCAAATATCTAGGAATTTATATGGTTTTATATCGGTGTTTTTTATATATATTTATATAAGCGAAGTGATTGTGCCGACTACTACTATTTACATTCATTCTCTGCTATTTACAGCAAGCAAAACCGAAAAAAAAGGATAACCAATCGAAAGAAATCGAAGATAAAAAAAATAGATGTAGTATTTCCCTCGCTATGGCATTCAACTAATTTACATTACATGTACATATTTTTAGTGTGTGTGGCCAAAACTAAAGCTCCAAACTTAGCATAAATTAAATTAAATCATAGGCATATTAACATAATCGTAATCAACTAAAATTATAAACTAAGAGTGCGGCTGCTGCTGCAGTTCGATCAGAGTTGAGGGGCATATATAGCATACATATATTGTTGTTGTAGTTGTTGTCGCAAATAGTTGTTGTTGTTGTCGTCGTTGCAGTTGTAGTTTTAGTTGTTGGTATAGTTTATTATTCAGGGCAGCTCTCAACGAAAAATTGGCGACTACGAAAATTTGTTTACTTTATGTTTCTTTTTTTGGATTTAACCTATTTTGTGGTGGTTGATTTTTGGTGGTTGTTGTAGTTGGTGGTGGTGGTGCGCCAAGTAAAAATGAAAGAAAAGAAAGCAAATACCGATATGTGTAAGCTACGACAAACGACAAAACGACCAGCGAGAGATTCTACATACGGTGAGGCTGGCTCAATGGGACTACTCACCTTGGTAATTCTGAGGCCAAATGGTGGGTACATTCTGCAAGCGAACATTAAACAATTAATATAGAAATATTTTTGTATTATACAGTTGGGGTCAGAATAATAGCTCTGGAAATCAATTTAAAAGTCACTAGGTTCGTTACTAATTTACAATTAATTATAATATTACCGCAGAATCAGGGACCAAAATGAATTGTTTTTTGAAAATATTATTTTAAAAGGAGTAAATAGCATCCTGCTTATTATTTACTGTAATATCGTTGTCATTGTATATAAAATTTTTAAGAAAAACATTTGTTAAAAGCAAAAATCTTTGTTATAATCTAACCAAATTTGAATTATATTTAGCAAACCGGATTGGGCTTAGAATCATTATCTCCAGCGCTATTATTTTGACCTTATCTGCAGTTGTTTCAATCGCACTCACCATTGGCACACTGTAGTACTGATAGAATGGCTGATATTGCATGGCTGAAGGTGGGTAGATGGCTGGCACTCCAGCGGCTGTAAAGTCAGTAACTAGGTTTGGTTAATTGTTTCCCAATTGATGGTGGTGGTGTTTTGGTTGTAGTTGTTGTGTTGATGAAGTGTATTCGAATAGAGAGAGAGAGTAATGAAATACAAAGAAAAGAAAAACAAATGTCAATAAAACCAAGTGAAACTCAGAGAAACGATGAAGACCCATCAACGCAGAGATTAATATTATATATTGGAGTTAAATCGCCCGGAACGACCATATATCTCACCTGGCGGATATACAGCGGCTGCGAACTGATCCATGGGTATATTGCTCATCGGTGCCGGCGGCGTGGTGGTATAGTAGACAGCTCCGTTCGTGGCCACAATCGATTGCAGAGGATTGGGCTGGGTGGGAAAATAATGAATTTAATAATTTAATTACCAGATAATAACCCAATTACTCACCTGCTTCTTGATGGCCGGTGCAATGTTCAGTTTGCGATCACGTAGTACCACGCATTCACCCTGTTTTTCGGCCAGACAGAGATGGAATAGAGACAGAAGGAGAAAGCATAAATAGAGGACCATTAATACATATTCATTGCATTATCAACACACAAGCCGAACGAAGAAATTCAAATTTAAATCGAACGCAGCAGCATCAAAAATTCTCAAAAAATAGTTAAAAATTAATGCGCAACGCTTTTGGTTTTATTTTGTGTCTTTTTTTTAATCTTCTGTTCATTTTTGCTTTTTATGGCACGGCCATGGCTAAGAGAGAGAGAAACACGTGCCAAGGCAAAATACCATTACCAAAGTTATATATATATATAATATATAGGTGTAAATGTGTATATTGTGGGGTGTGTTGTGTGTGTTTAAATTAAGTAAGGTTTATTACAAAATGTCATGTACATATGTTGCATAAATAGATCTGCGCTGTTTTTGCTGTGGGTTTTAATTTGGCTTCAAAAGCAAATCCAATCGCCAACTTATTGTTCTCTTTGTTTCGTAATTTTCATTTTCAATTTGTGCGGCACAAAATTCAACATGTTTATTTTAATCAACAAACATAAACACAAAAATTAATTAACCAGAATAATAAACTCATTTAAAAAAGTTTAAAAAACTAAAAGGCACAAAAGCATTTAAAGAACAAAAATCAATTTGGAAAATAAAGCTTGCTTTTTGTTTCGTTTCTTCTCTCGTCTCGTGTTTGTTACTGATAATAATAATTAAATCAATTGAATACAAAAAACAAAACAATGTAAAACCAATTAGAAAACTTTAATATATAAAACCAACACCAAGTTAAAAATGTAACTATATTAAAATATACTTGTAGTCACAAAAATATACCTATAAAGTTGATCAGAGAAAGGGTCAGTTTTAAATCTTGTATATAAACCTCTTTCACAAAGCCCTCACAAAGAACTTTTCAACAAGTTCCTTTTTGCTTGAAGTAATCCCATTTTAAAAATGCATTTAGCATCTCTTCGACCCAATAAATCAGCCAATTTACATTTAATACCTTTTCCTCCGGCCAAACTACTAACGCAGATAGGCAGCCGCCGACAGGCTGGCCAGTTCATCTTTAATTGCCAATTAGTCCCGGCTGATACCCTTGTGATTTGCGCTTGAGATGCACGAAAAGGACACCGCTCCACAAAGAGATAAGCCCAGACTCCTTGAGGGAGTCGGGGAGTGGCGGTTGAGTGGTGACCCCTCTTGGCAGCGGTAATAACCATTAACCTAAGCAAATGTTTGCCAGCCAAGGAGATGCTACTTTGTCGTTAGAAATAAAAAAAAAAAAAGTGGAAAATGAAATGAAAAGAAAAGCGAGGCACGGAAAACCTGAGCCGCCGCCGCTGCCACCGCGTATCCTTTCTGACCGCCGCTGGGCAAACATTCTTTTCATTTATGTTCGAGTTGGCCGCCCTCGAGCCTTCGTCCTCGGCCAGCGACATAAGGATAAGGGCCATAACAAAGGGCCAACGGTTGAGAAAGTAAACTAAAGATGAAACGTATGCTGGAAGGCCCTGAAACCCCTGCGACCCCCATCCCCACCACCACCACCCTTAACCACCTCTTGTCTTGGCTGAATTTAATTAAGAATCCTTTTGGTGGCTGGCTTTTACCGTGGTAGCCTTTTGTTTCAGCACACAAAAAGGACAACAAAACCGTCCCCCACTCCACTCGAAAATGATTTAAAATTGAAGAGTCTGCTCCTCGAGGAGTAGGCAAATCTCATACATTCGAAATGTGCGTTTCAAGTTCATTTTACGGACCCAAAATTTGCTCTATTCTAAATGTATTTGTGTTGCGTAATTATGCATGTATGAGGTGACAATGGGTTGGGGGATTAGTTTGCCATCAAAGAACATATACACAAAAATTAGTATACGCAGTGGGGCTTTGGATTTAGTGGACTGATATGATATATACTCGAATATGGTTTTGGATTGTGGTCCCCGAACACTACAAAAGGGCGCCCGGTCGCCTATTTTAGTTTGGAAGCTGTGTGGCTTTTGATGAGTTCGTGGTCGAAAAACTAGAACTAAATGGTAAACTTTTCTAAATGAAATTTAATTAGTGTAATGTGTGTTGTCTCCTCTGTTGTGGGGTGGTGTGTGTAAATTATAAAACTTGGTTAAACGTTGTCAGGACTTGTTTTTATTGTTGTTGACGTTGCTGCTGCTGCTCCTGCTGCTCCTGCTGCTTCTCTTGTTGTTGTGTGCCCGTTTCAGCTTTTGCCTTTTGCATAGAGTGTGGTCGTTGTTATCCTTGTTCTGCCGGCGGGCATTATGCTTTCTGCTCTCCCTTTGCATTCACAAGGACACTCGTGTCCCAGACTCGGGCAATAGCAGCAGTAGCAGCAGCAGCAACAAGAGGTGGAACAACAACCAGAACGACAACAATGCATATTAATGACGAGCTGCAAAAGTTTTTCACTTAATATGCCACAGAGCACGGCGGAAGCTTCAGCCTCTGAGCAGCATCGTCAGAATAGAGGGTAAAAAGAGATGTAAAAATGGGAATTTTCCCTGAAATGGGTAAAAGTTGCATCACTCAGGCGGCCAGTACTTATGCAATAATTATAATCAATTAGTATGCCAAAACAAAATATGGCAGACAAGTTCATTTTGTAATAAGCCACCTGGAGGCTGAACTTTTTATGGACCGAAATGAACCTAGTCAAGAAACAAGTTGCAACAGCTACACGTGGAAAAATTAGTACATTGCAAAAGAATTCAGAATTTAACAACTGTTTATAACATTTATAATTCGCTATTTACCAGACGAGTGCATTCCTTTAATTGTTTTTATAAAAAAGATTTCCTTTGCCTTAATAATAGTTTTCCCAGTGTAGTTTTCTACAGGTTACAAAGAGCGCGTGGGTTGCCCTGGGGACCAAATGATTGGACTGCTAACTTTGGGGCTGAGATATATATGTATATTCCCTAGGAACTTTTACGGCGCGCACTTACTTGCTGGGGGTTGAAATTGGATTATTATTATTACTACTGCTGCTGTTGGTTCGTTAATTATTCCGCAATTGGAAAAATGTGCAATTCACAATCGATTCGTAATCAGCAAATTAGGCAAAAACGGAAAAGATGTGCCAACAATGCAACTTTACACGAAAATATAACTCAAAACTGAACTCAAGACTGGATCAAACGAATTAAGGCAACAAGGCAACGCACTAAGGTATTGTCTATATAGTCTAGTCTATAAAGTCTATGGAGACCGCGTTCCAATAACGGAGCCAAAGGAGCAAAATTGTTTAATTGATTGCGTAAAATGAGCATTAAAAACGGTGCAACGAACTCAACATTGTTTGCATTTGCATTTGATTTTGGTTTTTGTTTTTGTTTTGGTTTTAGCTTAACGCTTAACGGGCAAACTTCGATATATCAATAGGTTGGATACGTGTGGGTGTGGGATCAAAGAAATATAGAAGGAAAAGTAAGGCTGCCTACGCTTGGGAGAGTAGTAATGTGGGTTATATAACTGGGTGAGTGTGGTGTGTTTTGTAAATATGTGTGTTTTTTGTTGTTTCTGGCAATGAAACGATATAACGAACGCAACGGAATCGAATGTAACGTAACGGAATGGCAACGCAACGGAAATGTAACGTAACTCGGAAACGTAAACTCAACAAAAACGCAATAAGAAGAAATTTATAAAAGAACAAAGTGCCGTCCGTACCTAAGGCGGTACATCTGATCATCATATATCATATATCGCTCAATGGCGACAATCATATGAGGTATTTCTTATGTGGGACCCCCCCGCGGGGAGTGTTGGTAGTAGTAGTAGTAGTAGAAGTAGTAGTGGTATCAGTAGTAGGAGGAACCGACGTCTCATAGTAGTAGTACTTGTGTGTGATGGGTCAGGTAATACCCTAAAAGATCGGAGCACAATTTTAAGCTGTATTGGATATGCTGCAGTGTGATTTGTTTATATCTTTTCGTAACGCGACAATCGAAAAAGCTATATAAGAGGTGTGAGGTTCGTTCGTTCAATCGTTCGTAGGTGGTTGTGGTGATGTTCACGCTCGCTTCTTCGGAATCGAAATCATAATACTGGCATTTCTTAGTTTTTGGTAAACGTTCAACAGGCGACATTAGCAACAGGTCAAAGGAGTGGTACTCACATCCGCTTGCAGTCTTTGCGCCTCCTGCTCCGTTTCGAAGGTGACGAATCCATAGCCCTTGCTCACGCCTGCCCGATCCACGATGATCTTGGTGCTCTTCACGGTGCCGTAGGCGCTGAAGACGCGGGTCAGATCGGCCTCGGTGGTATCGCCACTAAATAATAAAAATAGGGATTAGTTTTGTTTTCGTTACTTTGGGGACGATTAGGCAATCGCTTTTGTTTTTTTGCGTGAGACTAAACAAAATTATTCAAGATATTTGGCTTTATTTCATTCATTCATTTCAGTTTACAACAATTAATTATTTCAAAAGTGCAACAGTTTTAATTTCTTTCTCCATAATTCCTTGCAATTAAGCAAACAACAATTCGTTGAATCTGACTGCTCAAGGCAGTAAATTCTAAGAAACGTGTATGTGTAAATTACATTTATTTTCTAGAGAAATCAATTGAAATTGAATTTAAAAATGCTTTTAAATCAAAGGCGAATGGCAGCGATTTTTTGGAATATGAGACCACAGGACGAGTTCTCACCTGATCCCGCCCACAAAGATGCGGTTGGGTATTAATGTGCCGTATTTGGGCGCCGCCAGGGGCGTCTCCAGTCCTCCGCCGGGCGCTGCCGTTGGAGGCGGCGCTGCCGCGATTTTGTGCATCTCTGCAGGTGTCGTCTCCAGACGAAAGTTGGGGGCTCCGAAGGGCAGAATCTTGAGGCTGTTGCTGTGGATTGGGGGTGCGCGCCGGCCAAAAACTTCTACTCGCTGCCGTTCGTTGGATCGAGCGGCTCCGCTTTGATTGCGATTTTTGGTCTAGGCTGTCGGAGGTTGGATCGTATCGAATCGAATCGGATCGGATGGCGATTATGCGGCGGCTGGAGCTATCGAATTGGCTTTCACTGCTTTAGTTGTAGCACGCATGTATACAGTTTGATGTGCTGCCTGGCGGATTCTCGAAATCTGGAAAAGGCAAAACCATAATTAAACACAAAATTAGTTGAGCTCATTAATAAACCATTAAAATAATCAGCCACATGGCCAGCAAAACAAAAAAGAGACGTACAAGAGAGCAGAGCATTTGAATCTCTGAAAAAAAAACGTAAAGAATTGCCCCCTACATTTCGAAACGAATCTATTTCTGGCACAAGCGACATATGTCACACGAGGAAAACTCAGCGCAGGCACGCTCACAGATACGCACCCATACACAGCCAGGAAAAACTAGAGGTAGTCGTCGGGCACCATGTGTGCACCATAAATTCACCTTCAGAAGCGGCGGCGAGACAACTAAATAGCACAGAGAGTTTAATTTTAAAAGCAGCAGCAACGGCACAGCAGCAGCAGCAACATCACAGCCGCAGCAGCAACAATAAACTTGCCTTGTCCACAACACGGTTTGAATAAGTTTTTGGGCCACACGAGAGGCAGATGCACCAGGAAAAATTATATAACTCCTGTCAACAAATCAAAATTCTAACACAATATAAAACCCTAGATAAATATTCATATTAATTGAATTTCAGTAATTCCACATATAAAGGCGTTATACATTTTATGTTTTCACAAATAAAACGACGACATCTTTACACAAATTGTTCTCAGTGCACCTAGAAATTATACGTGTTGCTATGAGCTGCAGATGGCCATTATAATTCCGATCGAGGAAACTTCAACATGCACTAATTTGAGTTTGAGTCAAATACATTCGCAGCCTTCGTCAAACATTTCATTTTGATGTGTATAGATGGCTTTATAGATGATGTTTGCATGTTCTGGGCGTCGCATGTTTGTTGGCTCCCCCGCCAGCACCCAAAGATCTAATCCATATTCGTATGCAAGTAGCATGTAGGTATCCCTGGCCGTATCGTCATTTGTATCTGTATCTGTAGTTTCCGTATCTGGCTCATCGATGATGGGCGACGCGCTCCATTGCCCGCTGCTGGTCGCTTATCGCCGCTCCGCCCACCGCACAACTGACCAACAGTCCTACAGTCCAGCAATCCGAACGTGTACGGGCCGATTCGATTGGCAGACACACATAGCAATGAAAACATAATTAAATTTTCATTAACAATGAAAATGTCAAAATTGTTTGCGTTCGCGGTGAAGTTGCGCTATGCCAGGCATTTCAATTGTACGTCGGCAGACCGATCGATTTAAAGATATATGTAGGTACATACATATACACAGAAAGTCGGATGCACGTATGAGATATCTATTTAATGGACTGTGTGGGAATGTGATTATATGGCTCTATTTCGACCCATTTTCAGTATCTCAAACAAATAAATTACCGAAATATAAGTGTTTGCATAAATCAAGGCAATAAATAATCCCAGACGCAATTTAAACTAAATCCGTAAATGCAAAGCTAAATAACAGATATATCTTCCGCTCATTAAAACGCGTCACGATTCCAAAAAGAAATACATGAAAATATTTTTAGAACCGAGAAAAACAAAATCAAGTGACGTTGGCCAAAGGAATAGAAGGAGTATATATTTGTTTCGTCTACCGAATACAGATAATATGCTATATTGGCCTGGCCCAGCGGAAAATTGTGAAAAACTAAAAGCTTTGCCATAGATTTTCTAGGCTTCTCGAGCGGATGTGGCCACCATAAAGTGGGCGAGGCGATGCGAGGCGAGAGCTGATTTGCCGATGGCTAAGTGCCCCTGACATGATTCATGATGAGCCAAGATGGGCAGAGGGCAAGTGCTCATGATTTATGTGCGCCTCTTAATTATTTACAATATTATGAAATTATTTTTGAGAACTTTATTCCTGGGCATTAGCAAAATTGATGATGGGAGGGATAGTAAAACGGCGACAAAGCGAGAATACTGAGTAGAGCCAGCAGCTGAATTATTAAAATGTTCATTACTCGGCCATGGCAACTACGGAAAAGCGACAGCAACTGAGGTCAGCCGGAAAATCACGGAGTCAGGTCCGGAGTGGAGCTACTGTTCGCAGCATGACAACGGCAGCGATATCAATGGAATTTAATCAACAGCAGAGCCAGCTCAAAACTCTCACACAATCCCCACCCACATTCATCCGTCCATCCGTCCACCCACATTGCTGTCAGTTAGTCAGTCAGTCACTGAGGTGCTCGTTCTCGTACTCAACAATATTGCAAAATTCCACGTGCGAAAATTGCGCGAGTAATGCCAATGGAAACGGGAACCGTCAAAGAATTTTATATTGCCAAAAGAGGGAAAGAGTTCGTGTCACAGATACGACTGCCGAATGCTCAGCGATTATGGCGAGATATGATCTGTACAAAAGGGGTAAAAACAGACAGAAAATTGTAAATCCCTAGAGGACTGAAATACGCGTATAATTAAGAAATTTTGTGAAAACCACAGCTATGCAAATAAAAAAGATAGGGGGAAATAAACCACAGATATGACGGCATTGCTGAATAATTTTAATATAATGAAGAGAAAAACTTGGGGGATAATGTTGACAAAGGAAGCTGTAAAGGGGCTCATATTTACAAACCTTCTAATGATTTAACAATGTAGACTACGGGATGCAGAAAAAAAATGAATAGCGATAGTGGGGAGTTTAAATTTTATAAGCCACAGCAATAAAACAAACCACAAATAAAGAATTTTATTCAAAAAATAAATTAATTTTATCTATCCTCATGCAATAAACGGCTAAGACAAAAAGTAAATAAATAATAAAAAGATTAATATGTATTTTTACATAATATTGCCAGAAAGAAAAATAAAGAAATTTAAAGAAGCAGACAAATTTATATTTCCAATCGGAAGTACACAAGGATGATTCATTCCCCCATGAAACAAATGGAGAAATAATCCTCAATTCGTTAACAATTTGCAGTTCAATATTTGATATCGCCAGCATTAAAAAACATTCTGCTAGCTGGTTGAATTTTTTCGCTTTTATGTCCATTTTTGGCACATTTCAAGCGTAACTTGGGCAATTAGGGCAATGCAATTAGTGAGCGCCAAACTATTGAATAACCAGACTGCGTAGCCAGCAGCAGTTGCCGGGGAATAAGGGGAAAAAGGAGGGCGGTGGGAGAGAGTGAAAAGTGGGCGGGGCGGTGGGAAAGTCGACGTAGAGCAGTTGCTGAAGAGAGTGCAAGTTTGACCTATAAAATTGCAACGTGGGCGCGCTTCACTTGGCACAGATACGTACCAGTAGCAAGAAAAAAAGGGAAACGAAGCCAACACACAGCTGTGGCCAAGGCAAAGGGGAAAAGGGAATGAAACTGGTGGGAAGTGCGGAAAAGGGAAGGAAATTAAAGGGAAAAAAGGTAGGAAAGTGGTAGCAGCGGAAACAGGAACCGAAACGGGAAGAAGGGAAGCGCAGGGAAAAGAACCCTAAAGTCGTAAGCACTTTTTTTAAAACAAAACTGCCCACATGAGACTGACACCTCAGAAGCAAAACCCCGCAGATAAGAAAGCACCGAGTCACATGCACACATGCATCCTTCTGTGTGTATGAGTGTGTGTGTGTGTGTGCTTGCGTGTGTGGGTAAGCGTCCTTGCCAAAAACAATAAAGAGCAGGCCCCAAGGCGAGCGATAAACGCTGACACAGAGAAAGCGCAGAGGAAACCTCGGCAAAACAGGACCAAATGCGCCTTGCAGTATGCTACACAAAATATGGAGCTTACACAGAAAAAACGAAAGGATATCGATTGCTAGAGAAAACTACTATTTTAAGCGAAAATTGTACTTTAAAATATTATTTATACACTGTTACATCTAAATTATTTGCTATTGCGAAATGTACATATGATAATTACTATGAACAGTTTAAAATATAAATTATACGCAATCCTATTTAAGCTTGCCATAAAAACGTGTAAGCGTGCGATAGAATATTATATAGCTGAAATAAGCATTTAACATGTTTTCATTTCTGAAATACATTTCTTCATATTATGGGCGATTCTTATTACATTATAATCCAAATAAATAGCAAAATGTGCTTCCAGAGTGGGGATCAACATTATGGCGTTACATTTTTTGCAGTACAACCAGGGAAAGGATGAGTGGATGCTGGATATATCCGTAAGTTCACCAGGTGCGGACGACCAGGCCAGACGACCGACGACCGACTCCCGCATCCCCTGTTGGCCAGATAAGCGTATACAAGTCACATAAGGACAATTAGCCAGCCCAGGCTCAAAGAGTTTAAGAGGCATAACTGGCGACGTGGGGGAAAACCAACGGGTGGTTGGGGGAGATTAGGAGCGGGCGGGAAAAACGGGTGAGGAAATCATGTTGATGGCTGAGGCATGACGATGACGTTAAAGCGTACGTGTTGGTGAATAACTTAAAACGAAAGAAAGTCAGTGGGTAAAGATGAACTGAAGAGGGAGGAGGAGGGGAGGGGAGGTGGGCAGAGATGGATGGGTGGCAAGTGGGTGAATGTGTGTGTGTGTGGGTGGGTGGCTGGTCGGTGGGGAAAGCAAAGGTCAATTGAAGTTGCGGTGCTAAAACTTTGAGGCGGCGAAAGAGCAAGAGTCAGAGGAGTTAAGTCAAGTGGAAAGCGGGAAAGCGCAAAACAGGCTCACACAAACTCTTGCACACCCAAGGATGCACTGACTGACAGTGCGCCGGAAGTGGAAGTGCTCCCCCCGCGCCCACCTCCTTACCTGGGCACAACAACAAAAAAAATAAAGAAAAACTGCTGGCTGCCTTTCGCCTACATGTTATACAATCCTTGAGTGCGGCGAGCGAGGACGAAGCTTTTGGGTGTCAGTCAAGTGAAAGGAAATTGTAGCACACCAGGGTGGTGGTGGTGGTGTAGGAGCAGAGGGGAGGGGGTGGGAAATTGGGTGAACCGTGGAGAGGACGGGCCAGACAAACCAACAGACAAACATCATCATCGTCATCATCGCAGGCTCGGCGGCCTCAGCAGCTAAATTGATGGCCTGCCATCAGGGTATCCATCCCACATCAACGTTTGGCCACCC